TTTTTTTTTTTTTTTTTTGGGGGTTAATAAAAACATTTAAACCAAAATCTTCACGTTCTCAGCAGCACTTCAAATTAAAAATATATACTAAAAATAACTATAACATTCATATATATGGTATATTTGTTTATGTAAAAAGATACTTGTATCTTTTATTACACTTATCTTACGTATATTAGTGAAGAGTCAACATTAACGACTTTAAAAATATTTTATTGTTTTCATTTCATTTATAAAAATAACGTATTTTACAATAATTATATTTTTATTTGATTTGAATGATTCGAACTTTAATAACTGTAATCATTATCGAGATTTATAAGATATTTCATGTAAGAAGGTTTTTAATTTTTGATTTTGCAATGATGTTATGTTATCATACTTATTTATTCATTATGCACATATTTATATAAAAATGAAAAGAAATATGTGTGATATACATATATACATATATAGAAATACATAAAAATATAAAATATTAATATCATAAATAAATAAATAAATAGTCATAAGAATGGAAAGAAAAATGGGTGAAATATTTACATATATATAAATATATAAAAATATAAAATATAAATATATATATAAATACATATTTACATATACATTTATAAACACAAGTCTTACATTTATATGTATATAAATATTTAGCTATATACACAAGTTAATATAATTAGTACAAAATTTTGAAAGCTAATGCCGTCAAATAAATTTTTGAATTAAATATAGTATTTAAATAAAAAATTTTATTTATATATACGACAAAATATATTTATATTTATATTTATATTTATATTTATATTTATATTTATATTAATATTTATATTTATATTTATATTTATATTTATATTTATAATTATATTTATATTTTTAAATTAATATTTATGTTTATATATATTTATATTTATAAGTTTATATTTATAAGTTTATATTTATAAGTTTATAAGTTTATATTTATATTTATTTTTTATTTACATTTATATTTTACTATAATATAATATAAATTTAATATGCAAATATTATATTAATTATAAATAGTTATAGGACAATGTTATTAAATTAATATTTATGTTTATATATATTTATATTTATAAGTTTATATTTATAAGTTTATATTTATAAGTTTATAAGTTTATATTTATATTTATTTTTTATTTACATTTATATTTTACTATAATATAATATAAATTTAATATGCAAATATTATATTAATTATAAATAGTTATAGGACAATGTTATTAAATTAATATTTATGTTTATATATATTTATATTTATAAGTTTATATTTATAAGTTTATATTTATAAGTTTATAAGTTTATATTTATATTTATTTTTTATTTACATTTATATTTTACTAAATATAATTAAATTTGTTTTTATTTATATTTATTTTTATTTATGTTTATTTTTATTAATTATTTTTATTTTTATTTATATTTATTTTTATTTATATTTATTTATTTTTATTTATATTTATTTTTATTTATATTTATATTTATTTATTTTTATTTATATTTATTTTTATTTATATTTATTATTATTTATATTTATTTTTATTTATAATTATATTTATATTTATTTTTATTTATTTATATTTATTTTTATTTATATATATTTTTATTCATATTTATTTTTATTTTCTTTTATTTTTTTATTTACTTTTATTTATTTTAATTTATTTTTATTTATTTATATTTGTTTTTATTTATTGTTATTTATTTTTATTTATATTTATCTATTTTAATTTATTACTATTTATTTTTATTTATTTTTATTTATTTTTATATATTTATATTTATTTTTATTTATTTATATTTATTTTTAATATTTATATTTAATATTTATATTTATATTTATATTTAATATCCTTATATTTATATTTATATATTTATATTTATATTTATATTTATATTTATATATATATATATATTTATATTTATATTTATATTTATACTTATATATATATTTTTAAATATATTTATATTTATAATTATAGTTATGTATATATATATATATATATATATATATATATATATATATGTATATATATATATATAGTTATGTATATATACTATAACTATATATAATATAATTTAATTTATAATATTTATATTTATATTTAATATTTACGTTTTGTTTTTATTTATGCTTTTATTTTTGTTTATATTTTTATATTTATCTTTATATTAATTTTTATACTTACATTTGTAAATAAGTTGATAGATGAAATTATGTATATATATTTATAATTAGTTTGATATTATCTGCATGTTAATATAAATATACTCTACTCTTGGTAATAAAATTATTTATATATAATATATATCAAATCACAGTTAAAGTGATAATCAATCAGAGTATAAAGTTAATATGAAATCATCAAATCTTTAGACAAAACAATTGGAGTTACAAAATGGCCATGAATGAAATATATATATAATTATTTTAGATAAATGTAATAATAATAAGTTTAGTACATACTCTGTCTCTTATACATAATATGTCTCATTTAAAACTTAAAATTTTAAATATATTTAAAAAAAATGCCTAAACCCTGTAAAGTATATATTTTAGCAAATATTCCAGAAAAGTAGATAATTACCATATTCTTATGTTTTGATAACTTCTTTAATTATAAAGAAGTATATATAAAATATTTATTTTATAGTTAAATATTTTACTATTAACGACCTGAAATTAATGCTTTAAATAGCACTAATTAATTGCTGTATGCGTAAGAAAGTTATGAGACATATTGAGAGACATATTGGTAAAAAATAAATTAACATTTATGCCTTTTGGCATACTCAGACAAATGGCATCGAGGAATTCATTCAACTTCTGAAATCTTGACTTAACTTGCGTATTATTTTTGAAAATGTATTAATATCTGGGTTGTGAACTGGATATATTTTTAAAGTTATTCGTTTTAGGGGTTCCATAGTGTGAACCATTGATTCGATAGTATGAACCATTTATTCGATGTAGAGAAAAATTGCTCTTATACTTTTAACCACTAATTTACAAAAAGAGATCATCATTTTACAATAAAATAAAGTTAATTTAAATTCTACAATAATAAGTTTTAGATTCATTCGTTACAATTAAACTTTAAAGTCGAAGATTTAGGAATAAATCCAGTTTAACTGAGAAGGTGTTTTACGGTACTGGTTTTAGTGTTAATATATATTTTTGAATTAATGAATATATAAATGTTGGAAGTGGGAGCGATGATGATTTCAGTTTGATTGATTTCATTTACTATATATACTGATGACTTAACACTTTAACTTTAATATAAATATACCATTCACTGATAATACCCAACACCAAAAGAAAATCTTTTTTTAAAATAAATATATAAAATAGAATAAATACTGCATACTAAATGTTTTAAATACTAGGAATATATTGTTTACCTATACTATTCGTCTCCTCAGTATGCTGCAAAAGACTTTTCTCAAAAGGTTTTGGTGCTGTCATTACGGGTGACTCTCCAGCAGTGGACGCTGGTGATATGTTGTTATCATCTTGATTTTTTTTTTCATAAGACTTTGGCAGTTCATGTAGTTCAGCAACAAATTTGCTTTTGCAGTCGGGACAACGTACATCTGTGAAACAGATCAGTAAATGTCAAAAATAAAATTCGTATGTATTGATTTAAATAAAATGAATTTACCTTGATTATTTGTACTGAGGTTCCTATTTTCATGTGAAAATTGACACGAACAATTAACGCAGTGGTATAGAGTTTGATTCATTTCAGTGAGATCACGTTGGGAGAGTATATTTCTTAATTTCTTTTCCAGTTCCTGGAAATATAGTGATATATTTTAATTAGTTATACATTATATGCTTAATTGCAATAACTAAGTACATATTTATATTCTATAAATCAGTCGATATATAAAATAAAGTAAACAATTAAAAAACTTTCAAATCAATTGAAAAATCAAAGACTCTGAACAAAAATTTACATTAAAAATCATTTAATTTAGAATTATAATGCCCACAATATTGTTTCAAAATTGATATATATTTACGGACCTATTCTGTGCACTTTATAAACTTGTCAAACATTGACACTTGTCAAAATTAACTGCTGTAAAGGTTTTGGTATTCTGTGACATAAATAAAAAGCTCTTTTCCTTGTTAGTTGTCAATACTACAAATGCTGACAACTATTAAAATATGCTCTTTTTAAGCATTTTTTATTTTTTGCATGTATGACAAATATTTTTAACTAAAATATACGCTCTTTAGAAGCATATTTTTTATTGTTATTTGAATGCATGAAAAATGCTTTTGGCAACTTAAAATATGTGCTCTTTACAAGCATTTTTTACGAACAGTTACGAACAATTACGAACAGTTTTCTATACCAAACATTTTACACCATAGTGTGGTGAGAAGCACTAGGTACTTGAGCTTTGAAATTTGTCAAGATGTGTCCAGAATACCAAAAAGTTTTCTGCTTTATAAAAATCAAAAATTTTATTAAAGAATTTGACAAATCTGTCAAGTGCACAGAATAGGTCCGTTAGTGTATTAACGCAGCGATGGGGAATGTACAGCACTTGTGCCATCGTCCCTGGCAGGCAGGGCGATTTTAATTTATTTTTCTTATGTAATGTTGTTCGTTTAAAACATCTGGATATGCTAAAAGTTCACAAATCTTAATACTTATCACGCCTTTATAGAAACACCATTGCACTTTGCCATTGCTGCACTTAAGCATTTAAGACTTGAAGTATTCATTTACCTTACATAAATCATCTTCCACTGTATATATTCGTGACTGTTTATCAACTTTTACTGTATCAAAATGTATTCTTAGAGTGTTTGATTTCACACGCTCACATGATTCTAAAATTTTCAAGCTCCATTTTGTTCTAGTCCTGTAAAACATAATAAAAAAAATATATAATTAGAAATCTATACAAAGTAAAAATACCTCAATATTTAAATTTAATGTATAATCCAGCATACTGAAATTATATAATATATATAATAGCATAGTAGACTACAATATAAACAATAGAACAGCAGATATTATAATTATTATGTGACAGTGAGTACTGTCATTGTAATACATATTATATAATAATTTCTTCGTCTTAGTATTATAGCTCGTTGTGGTCCTCGCGACTATTATTTGGTGCCTTAGTACAAGCCTAAGATATCGTAAGTCTGTGTTTTAATATATTATATTATTTTTACATTTTACTCTTCTTTTCAATGTAGTGGATTTGTACAGCACTTGATTGTATAGGTTAAGGCAAGACTCACAGTTCAGTAGGAGTGAGCCATATATGCCAATATCTGATTCATTTTATACAAATTAATAATGTATACTTTACAACCGTATATAAAATTGAGTAAATCATACGTGACAACATTAAAATAAAGACTTATTTTTCGAATACATATAGAATAACAAAAGTTATTCTACAATCATTTTGTAAAACATTCAGTTCAGAACACATAGTGGGTTAATTCGGGACAATTTTAAAATAATTAATTTATTTTGTAAGAAGTTACAACGTCAGTAGATAAATAAATGTAATACTACGTTTATGCTTCAGAATCATCCAACGTCGGTTAGCGATAATTAATAAAAAAAATTTACATTAAGACAATGTAAACAGCTCTTATTGTATATGCACAAAAACATAAATGAATTCTGAAAATGAGCAAAAAAAAATTTATTTCACACGAACAAATGGTACTAGGCTGTAAAGATTTTAATCGACTTTTCACTTGCTTAAGTCTTAGCTAAAAACATTCGGCACTACATCATTTCACAATCTTTCAAAGAAATATTTTGCGAATATGATGTGTTGATTATAGTTACAAAGGTCACCTGCTTGTATGACCCCTTTGTGGGATGTTGAACGACGCTTGGTCGTCTTCAACGAGTAGACCCGGGACGTAGACCTGGTCGTTTTTGGAATCACAGCTTTACGAATTGCAACCAGCTGCCTTCGTATGTTGCATGTTGACCACCTTCATGCGGAATCGAAACTATTTTTTGTAAAGAAACACAACCAACTCCTGTCCAAGCAATTTCTCCTTGCGTGCCACACAGATGGATATCCTAATGGTGCCATGGCTAGTAGAGCCTTCCCTCCACGATGCATCCGTGGATCCCTTACCAACTATAACCATATCGACCAATATTGCAATGGAGCTAACATCAGTGAGGTCGAATACAAACGTGGACTAATATCACTACATACAGTGATAAGATGCAGTATCTTTTTCGAAACCTAGGTTGACTCCCAACAAAGTTCTCAATAGGCCTCTGCCTAATATATCCTAGGATGAACGTAGTCTCCCCCGTGCAGTAAGAACTGTTCTAGCTCAATTGTGATCAGGTTATAGCCATGTGCTAAACAGTTATTTGTCACGCATAAACACGTCCATTCCTAACGTGTGCCCAAATTGCAGCTCTACCCCCATGACGTCGCTCATCTGTTTTCTTGCCCCAATGCACACACTGATTTAAGTCTAATCGACCTTTGGACTCATTTTCTTAAGGTAGCTAGGTTTCTTCGGCTGGACCCTGGTTAATTTCAATCATATCGTCCCCCACTTCCTTTATCCCCTTAATTCTAACCCCACCTATCCACTCCCTTATCCATGTACTCGTCTTGTAATCCTTACGTGTTATCTGCTTTCAGATCTCTGCGGGTTACAACAACAACAACAAAAGTCTCCAACTGATTCCTTAGTTTAATGCAACTTCTTGTGAGTGTCGAGTGAAGAGGTTTATCTCACAATTGATCTGAATTAAATTTAGCAGGGGATGTACTGTTTAACAGAAGCATTTCTGAACTTTTTAAGAAATTTGTGTTTAAAAAACTATAATGCAATTTTAATATAGTATTTAATGAAATAATTAAATATAAGAAATAAATGGTAGTTATAGAAATGTTTTTTTTAAGTTATTGATTATAAATACTAGTAATTTCTTATACCTTTGAGATAGTGTATCTTTTTCACGTAGAAAGTTTGAAGATATTGTTAAGAAAATTGCTTTAGATTGATTTGAACCATATACAATGTAAGTTTCTTCATCGTCTTCTGGTTCAGAAACTAAAAATAACTTTTCTTAATTTAAGTTATAATCAAATAATTTTTAATAATAAAAATACCTTCAGGTTCACTATCACCGCATGCTGTATATACGTTTTTCAAATATCGGTCTTTATAGCTTTCTTCTAAACAAGTATCATCAGCATTTAAGGATTCCTCAACAATATGTGTAGTGATTTGTGCATTAGATTCATGTAATGATTTATGAAATGGTGATGTTTCAGTTGTTATATTTCCCAAATTCTCGACGGTAGTTTCTGCACTCATATAGAGTGTAGTATCATTGTCCTTAGAAGATTCTAAATCATTATTTAAATTTGATGCAATATTTATTGCTTGGAGACTAGAATTTATAGGCGTTGATGTTTTATCGGTTGTTCCAATATCACTTGTTTCTGATAGTTCACCTAAAAATTCTTTAAACATGTTTTGTGAATCCTGTGCTTCCAAATCATCATCTGTTTCAATACCTATGTGTAGAAAATATATGAAAATATATCTAAAAGTATTTTGCAGAATTTAAAATGAATGACAAGACATTATCAGATGTGTTCTGCAAATTGACATTTTAGTTTGATTTTAATTAGTTCAGTTTCTTATGGGCTAATTGATAGAAAGCATATTGTTATTAAATAATGTCGGTCTTCAAAAACAATATTAAAAACGGAAACATGATTATTTTTATAAAATAATTTTAACAAAACAATTAATCATTGTTGATCATTATTTTGATTCGAAAACTTAGTCCGAAGAAATAAGCCCTTAATCCAGGCTCAAAGCCCTGGAATACCAACGATTTTTTTCAGGCTAAATTCAAACCAACTGACTTTGAAATCACCGTCAAAGCGCAGAACACATCTCTATAACTTACCCAAAACGCTGTTTATCATTTCAGCGTTTCCTGCTTGCAACCATTCAGCACCATACTTTTCACGCAGTATATTAATTTGTTCCTTTGCTTCCAAATATGCTGTGCTTGTGTTGTTTGGCTCCTCACTTATAGAAGAGTTTTCAGATTGTACGTTTTTGATATTATCAACGGTGGACTCTTCATCAAAATTTACAGTGCGTATTTTTATTGTACGCTTTTTTGTATTCTGATCAACATTTATAGAGGATTCCGTATCAGTATTAGAATTTAGCAAGGAAAATGAACGTACGGAGCCAAAACTTGAAGCAGGTGTGTGTGAAGATGGCGTGGCACGTGAACTTATTGCGGGACTTGCTGATTTCGTCGAATATCGATTCAAAGTTGACCCATGTCGCATTTGGTGGGTCCCAGTGATTGAATTTTCTCTTTTGGAAAGCGGCTCAAAGTCTAGTATGAATTTCATATTCGCGCAATTTTTGTGTAGAAATTGTGCTGTTGCGAGACGATGTTTCGGATGACAGTGTAATGGATTTCCATATAGATTTAAAATTTTTAAAGTTATTAAGGTACTTAAGGGTAAAAGGTATGTGTGTTCTAGTAAACAGTTATCCGATAAATCTAAATCAGTTAGAGCACTCAATTTGGCTATACCCAAAAGATCTTCAACTAAATTGTTACTCATATTAAGCACTTGAAGACGCTTATATGCTTCCGCATGAAGTTGTGGCACACCTATCAAACGATTAAAACTTAAATCAAGAATTTTCAAATTTGGTAACCACTTAATAGCATCGACACTTTGTAGATTATTGTGACGTAAATTTAAGTGCTGTAGATACTGAGCAAATTCCAGGGAAGTATCAACTTTTTGTAAATTATTATAACTAAAGTCAGCCATTCTAAGTTCATTCCAAACGAATCCATTGGAATTATCACCACCACAATTTGTTATTATCTCATCAATACAATTTAAACTTTTAATACAGATTAATTCTTCCAGTTGAGAACGTAATGGTTGTATTCCGATTATTTGAAGCACATTTGTTTTTTGTACCTCAAGTCGCTTTAGCATATGAAACTTACTTATGTCGATGGTACCCTCGAAATACTCTTCGGTAGGGTAATGTATAATGCAAAGCAATCCAGTCTTTTGGACAAAATCGTGTATCAGTTGCAGATCGCGGAAAACTGGTGATTTTGAATTGATTGGCTTCGCTACCTGAAATGTATGTGAATCTCCAACATCCACAGTATCCGCTATAAGTGTGAAGGAATCATTTAAAGCGCGTAGTAGTGAGCCTATTGAAAAGAAATATATTATTAATGTGTGCTTCAAATTGTCAAATATTATTTTAAAACAGAATATAGTATTTATTTACAATGTAATAACAGATATAATTTAATTAGATTTCTTATTCAAACCAGTTCACTATTTTTAAATAATTCGTGAAAGTTAGAATTTTTCAATAGTAGCTAATAAAAAGAGTTGACTTTTTAAGCAAATGTGTCTTCAAATCTCTTACAAAGATTTCTAGTGCTAAGATTTTCAATATTTTAAGCTTTATGGGACCCACGAAATTGTTCCATATTTAAAAATCGTTAACGTTTCATGTTAAGTAGTGCTAATAAAATAGATCCCTAGGGGTTACAAATTTATTCGTACATTTTAAAATCCAAAATTCAGAATTAATAAACATACAATGCCTAAGAGCGACATAAGAAAGATATGTAATATATATAGAGTAATTGTTTTTAGAAAAAAAATAAAATTAAATGTCACACTAACACCTACTGCGAAATCTATATGTAAATATGTTTCAAATTAACAGTAAAAAATGTTGTATTAGAAAAGAAAATTTAAATAATTGTAACATACAACATATTTGGGTCCATAGGAGCAAATATATCCAATATAATAACTTATAAATCAAATCAATTGTAAATCACAAATTTTGGGCATGTCTGGCTTAAATGAACTACATTTTAATGGATAACTTCACAAAAGTAATCACCTCATATATTGTGAATTATATTTAATAAGATATTGAAGAAATGCTGAAATTTTAGCATACATCAGAGATATAATTAGTAGTAAGTGACTCTTAAACATAAACTGAAATAAATAATATATAAATTGAACAAGATTAGTGCTGTAACTTCTGGTTCTGTTCTTTAAACTCAACCATAGTCAACACTAAGTAACCTTTACGAAATGTGAGCTTTGTTTTAAAAGGAAACATTTGTATGTATATGTATATAAAATGTATATATGTATATATATAATGTATATATGTATATATATAATGTATATATGTATATATATAATGTATATATGTATATATATAATGTATATATGTATATATATAATGTATATATGTATATATATAATGTATATACAAATTTTTTAATATACAGTCCTAGCCAAAAGTATTTACACAACCTAAATTTTTCTGCATATTGGACTAAAGCAGTTTTTTGTTGTTGTTGTTGGAGGTAGGTTGCAAAAAAATGTTTGTTGTCACTTAACTTTATCTATACAGAACCAAATAAAAAAAGATTTGGAAAGATAACTGCCAAAAACTGCCATGAATCAAAGGGAATGCAGATGATTATTAGGAGTAGTCGTAGAAAATCCTACAATAAGACCTGTCAAAATTGCAGCATCATCGCAAAAGTTGATTCGCATTAATTATTATTATTTATTAACATTACTAACATTATTAATGATGCTACACTGCATCGCAGGTTAAAAGTTGTTATTATGAACACCTATGTAGTGCATAAAACTGTCAGTATTACTCTAACGACCCTATCAAATCGTCTCCCATTTGCTTTGAATTATTTGAAGAAACTTATACAGTTTTGGTACAATGTGTTATGGACAGATGAATCTGTATTTTAATTTTAGGGTTCGTTTGGTAAGTACTTCATGCATTTACAACAACGTCAACAAAATAAAGCAGTGCAGCTACTTAATAGATTTGAAGGTGGCATAGTGATCTTTACGGGATGTCTATCATGCTATGCATTTGGAGATTTGGTACCGACAAATGGCACCTTAAATCAGTCCCGTTATATTGGTATTTTAAATAACCATGTCTTTACGTCAGAAAATAGCCACTTTCCAATCAATAACTGGATTCTACAACATGACAATGCACCAAGTCATAAAGAATGTACTATTAACCAATTTTTAAAAGAGTTAAATCATGCTGTGTTTTTATGGCTTCTACAGAACCCTGATTTTAATGTCATTGAAAATACTTGAGGTTTCATAAAACAGCAAAGAACTATTGATAAAAATCCAAAACGTAGTGATACCATAATAGAAATATGAAATATTCAGGCGTAATTGATTCGCAATTTGATTGGATCAATTCCAGCAAGGTTGCAGGCAGTTATTGATGCCAAAGGTAGTGTACCTAAATATTAAAAATATTAATTAAATAAGCATAAAAAGGTTTTAAAAACTTCATTACTTAAGAAGAAGAAAATGAAATTAATGTTTCGTGTAAACACTTTTGACGTGAAAAAATTGTGTGTATATACTTTTGACAACTAATAAGCATTAGTGCATTTGCTTATATTTTTGTGAAATGATCAGTTATCTTTCCAAATCTTTTTTTATTTGGTTCTGCATAGATTAAACTAAGTGACAATAAAAAATTTTTTTGCAACTTACGTCCAACAACAACAATAAAAACATGTTTTAATCCAATATGCACAAAAATTTAGGTTGTGTAAATACTTTTAAGTAGGGCTGTATGTGCATCCATATATGAAGGTACATATGTGTGTATATATCAAGCAAGCATTAGTAAAATTTAATTTGTAAATAATACCTTATCGGTATTTGTAATTGAAAAATGTGTTCAGATGACGTACAAGTTTGTTAAATTTTCCTAAGATTATGCAAATGCATGAATATGAAACGTGAACTTTTATTTGTACTTTTGCATAAAAATTATAAAATTAAACAATAATAAAAAAAATTATATATTTTTATAATATTATTGTTATTATATAGTATATATACATATATATTGTATATACTATTATATTATATATACATATATATATCCCAGCTGACACATTCTTTTTCAATCGCTTATCAATCGGCCATAACTTTTTACTGAGATCGTTCCTATTAGTGCCTTTTGTAAAAATAAACAAATAATATAAAAGCAAGAATAGTAGTTCCAATAAGTATTGGTAATATCAACTCTCTATACATACTACAGTAAATTTTTTACGTATATAATATAATCAGTGGCGTATACATTGGAGGATGTTGGACTCTTAACATATTTTGGATTGATTTATACTAACACATTGTTTTTATTTTATATTTATTTTTATATGAACTTTGAATTACTTTTGAAAAACCCCGCTTAAATGAGTACTTGAATACGCTTCTGAACGCAATATTAAACAAAAATCAAAATTTTCTTAATTAAAGTAAAAATTAGTTGAATTTAATTTATGTAAAATTAAGAATTCATAAATTAATAATATAAAAATATTAATTTTATATTTCAACATATTTAAGACTATGCAAAATTATTGCAAGGCCATTGTACACATTCTTCTGTACTTCTTATTTGAGATCTTTAATAACATATTTGAAGAACGTTAAGACTTAATATATAAAGTATTTTATAACCATACAATTGTGTTCTTAGAATGTTACTGATATATGAAATAATTACGCCAGTAAAGTTTGTAGTATAATAAATGAAAACAACAATAATCTAAAAATACTTTATGATGCACACACACAAATATAAACAATTGCACTAAAATAATATAATAAAGAAATGCAGTAAAATTTGGTACACTAAACTAAAGCAAATTATTGATTCACATATTTTAGTTGATTACTTACCTGATAGTGTTAGCTTAAATTCTGAATTTAATATTTTGTCTCCGTTGTTTCTTAATAAATTTGCAAGCTCTGTTATTTTTTGTGGATCCATAGTTGGTACAGAGTTTACCTTTTAATGTTATGCGCTTTAACTATAAAGCAAATAATAATATTGCAACACAAGATTCTTAAAGCAAAAATTGTGGGTTAAACATATTAAAAAATTATTCATATATCAAGCGTTCAACAATGCTTGATATATGTGCGGTTGGAAGGCGAAGTTCAGTTTTTCGTTAGCTTCATGAGATGAATAATGTACAAATTTTCCACATTTTTTGAGTTTGTTCGTTGCACTAAGAAAAAATAATGTAAATTAATATTTACATTTTTATTAGTTTTTGACAAGTGTACTTTATTGCAATTCATACCTTCCTCCTTTAACAATGAGTACTTTCAGAATTTGTTGAAATTAATTTATTAATCTGACGATTTACTTTAGGGCTAATATGCCTTTAGAAAATATGTGAATACAACAAATAATTTAAATTGAAAATTTATTTTACAAACTAAAATATTTTAACAATGCGTGTACATGCCCTTTTTATTGTTATTGCTTTTCTTATTTAGTTAAAATATTGTTTTGTTATTGCGTTTTAGTTCTTTCTCTTTTTGTACAAAATTCTGTTTTTAAATATCAGCTGTTTAAACAGAGTTGATAATTGAGTGACAGCCACTCACAAATAAACAGGGATGTCATATATATCAATTAGGTTTAAAATTTTATATACACGTATATATTGTATTATATACATCCGGTGTTTGTTAAGGGTTACGTAAACAGATACATAAATTTAAAACAACATTAATGCTATAAGCTTTTATTCAATTTTACAATGCACACTTAAGAACCGATTTCACTTTAAAGTGACATTAATTTAAATTTAAATGACACTAACCAATATTGAACTTTTAAGGTTTACATGGATGCTATATATGTGATTTTTTTTATCAAGCTGTGAATATATACATATATATGCGAGTTCAAATACACATTTCTTTCGAAATACATGCAAAAACTTAAAAGATTTTTGATTTTGACATTTTCTCAAACATTCTCAAAATTTGAATTTTATTTTATACTTGGAAAATTTGAAATACTGGTACATATAATGATATATTTCCGCTGTTTTTTTGATTATTTTCATTTTTTGTATTTATATATACAAAATATATATCGCTTCATATACAAAAATAATGTAAAACTAATTAAAGTAAAAATTTGCCCTTGAAATCTATCATTCGCTTTATTTGTGAAGTTTGTGTCATGAAAGCATTTGTAAAACAATTTTCTCAAAAATGTTGCTAAAATGCAAAGTAAAAACTTTCATTAGGGTTATTTACGAGTTCGAATAACGCGCTCGGTAACCGAGTATCGTATTAAAAGTGCAAAGCAGCAACAACAAAATACATGTCGAGTAATACGTTGCAACAGTACTACGTTATACTACGTTTCCACTACTTTCTTAGTAAGTCATATAGTAACTTTGAGCTTTTTGCGTTTACATTATCACGCGTTACTTAAGGAATGAGAAAGAGCTTTTATGTGTTAAAAAGTTCTAGTTTTAGAGCTTTTCTGGGTTTACATTTCAATTGTAAACAGATGATATTAAATGTTGTATTGTTAGAAGAAAATAAATCAGCATGGAAGAAAACACAGAAAATTTGAGTAATTTAATATATAATGTTTGTAATGTTTTTCATAATATAAAAGCGGCAGTTGCTGCATATACAAAAGAACAAAAAATTACAAATTATTCAAAATCAAAACATCTTCAATGATAACTAGAAACCAAAGAAAGTGCTGGGCTTCTGGTAAATACGGGCAGTAAATATTATAAAATAAAGAATAAAATTTTACTGAGTTGCTATTTTAGATGAAAATGAAATCCGTATGTCGGTTCTGAGAAGACAACAGAGGGCTTCAAAACAAGTTTAAACACTAAACAACCACAATCCAAATAGAAAAGAAATAAGGCGATGTCTGAAACAAATTTTCAGTAACTTTTATTTTAATAATAACACTAATAACTTATAAACTTAAAGTAAAAACAACAAAAAATATATACTTTATTTTTTATATAATTAGATTTTATATAATTATAAAATTTATAAAAAATTTATATTATTACATTTATAATTTTAATAATTTTTAATATATTAAAAATAAAAATAAAAAAATATAGTCGGTTATCACTGATTTTTCTTTTCTTTGTAGGTGTGTTCTTTTTTGACTTCAAAGATGTTGACGATAATGTTGACGACGCTGACAGTAACGGTGAGGATGACTATCAGAAAATAATTCAAAGGTGTTGTCAATAGGCAAGTTCTTCAAAATTCTATACACGTTATGGACAAACTTCCACAATGACGGAGCCTCCGCTGAAAACCACAATACATTGCTGATTCTATCTGTTTTAAAATAAAAGAGAAAAGTAGTTAACATAACATTAACTATTAAACAAAACATCTAATATTAATCGTAAAAGATTATGTGGTTTTAATTACAAAAAAGTAATGATATGATAGAAATTTCACTTATTGAACACTTACCTAAAATGTTGGGTGAAGTGCACTTTCGTTTGCACTCCGGACGCGGTTACCATAAAAACTCTTTCACCTTTTTCATCGAAGAAGATGAAAAACACGCATTCCGGGTAATATTTTTTTGTTTTACATTAAACACAATTTCAAATTTATAAATCAAACTTGTAAGATCTCAATTATTGCTTTCCTGATGTTAACCTGAAATAAATAATTTTTATTATATTATATATGAAATTTTATATTTATATTAAATATATATTTGATAAATAAACTTATTTTTATATTTATATGTGCTAATTATATATTTTATTTATAAAGAAACAAATGTTTAAAAAAAATTCTTACCTGTTGTCTGTTTTGAATTTTGATTGCTTGTTTATGTTTACATTTTGCTTCATATGTCAAATATGTCAAATTTCGATAATTTCCAATGTTGCATTCGTCATATTTGGTATAATTTTGGTCAAATTTTGTTTACTATATTTTATAGTAAATGAAAAAGCACGGAAGCTCTTTGTATGGCTAATGCAATTTACTCAGTAAATGAAGCTTACTAAGTACTTAGTGGAAACGTAGTATTAGCCTAATACGGCGCTTACATTGGCCGAAAATGGCTCCTTTTGAATGAGCCATTTGACAGTGTTTACATTCATTGTAAATCGTTTGTTCTCATTTCAAACAGCTGATTTTTCAACTTAGGGTTGTTGATTTGATTTTTGGCCTGTGCCAGTTCTAAAATATTAGTTTTTATATTGATTGTATTTATCAATCAAATTGAAGCTTCTAAAGTTATTCTAGAAATTTTCTCCAATAGAAAAAGATTTATTTTTATCTCCATATTATGAAATTGGAGCTTCTATTTTCTACAGCGCTTCGTCAGATGTTGTGATAATTGTCAAACAATATTTTGACAGTTCATCAGTAAAATATTTGAAATTTTGTTGCAATGTAGAGCATTGGTTTTAAGCCTTAACTGAAAGTTAAATAAAAACATAATTGGGTGTTTTTTATATATCCTGATTATTGTATAGACTGTTGTAGTGTGGGATAATGTTTCCGATGTAAATGATTGTATCGGCTATGAATGCTTAAAAAATGTAATTGTATAGTGAAATGCTGTTAAAAGTGGGAATTGATTTGTAATTGCAACAACAAATCATCAAACATTTTCATAGAGTTTAAATGTGTTCCAGCGAGTCGCCAAATCAAATGTTCCAGTACAAGCTTACTGGGACATCAAAACGATTGAAGATTCAAACAGCTCTAATAATATTTGAAGTACTTGTGTTGATTTTAATTTACACTTTATATTAGAAATTTTTATTTGCATTTTTCATTGTATGGCAATCGGCATTGCAAATGGTGTCTTGTGGAAACAAATCTCTGCACACCTAGGCTTTAATCGTCTTGATCTGCACTATTCTTTTGAGCGCAATCACAGTCTGACTCGTCATTTTCCATAAAATCTGCCACCAATGGTTCTCCAAGTAAGCTTCTTCACATTCATTGAAGTCCATTCACATGTCCACCGGAGTCTACCGAGGTTTATTTTTACGACTATGTCCACTTCAAAGAAAATTATTTATGAGAGATCCCTAACAGATTGTAATTAGTTTTGTTGGATTTCATTAGCCACTCGTATTTTTAGTACATATTATTATTAGCTTTTTATTGCAAATGATGCATCGTCTGAGTGAAGAATTCTTGTACTACTGATTCAGCTTTCCCGAAAACATTAATTGCGTACGGGTATGTCTGTCTGGACTTTGTGGTAATAGTCCCTTTTGCTTAAGTATCAGTGACTTAGATTGATATTTCGAACGTCATGTTGAAGAAGAAATAGGCTAGACCTTCCCCATGTCGGTGTAAATATAAGATGATTACAATTAAGATGATTGATTATGATAATAACTTTTACTTGGTTTGTTATGGTGGTCAGAGGAAACCTACATAGTTGTACAGTTTGTTAGGAATGCAAACTTTTTTCATAGCATTGTGTAATTTTAATCTTGTAATCTTGTTGTAGACGGCGCAACAGTCCATAAATGGGCGGTCCAGTTGAATACTGAACACCCGACATTTTTTAATCGCTAGCTTCACTGTGAAGATTTTTTATTAAAAAAATCTGAAATATCTCTTCTTTTTTTTTAACTTTATTAATATTGTAGTGTGATGTATTGTAATAAATCAACGCCTGTACAATATTCGTAAAATTCTGTGACATCGGAGATATCGGTTATGGGCAATTTGCACTCGGTAACATTCTTAATTACACTCGGTTTTTTATAAAATTATAAAGGTTAACAGTTATGCTAAAATTAAGTTAATTAAGGTATGTTGCTAATATTTATCAATTGCGTATATGTGTATTTACAGTGTCAGCTGTTTGTTTATTTTTTTTTTATTTGAAACAACTGTTTTCTAATGGTAAAGCTGTGTTTGTTAATTGATTTATTTGTTGTGAATATTGTTTTCTTTTTTCTTAATTGTAGTAATTTTAGTTAATATATATAAAAATAATGGTGATTCCTTATTTTGTACATGTTTTGTATAAGCTTAGTATTAGGAAAGTCAGTCGAATCAGAAAGCAGTGTAAAGATACTGCTCTTTTCGTAATGAAAAATCTCCAGTAAAGAATTGTCTATTATTATATCCGAAAAATATATCTGCAAATAATTAAGATCTTTAAATCTATAAGTTTATTATGTGGATTTATTCCACATATTTGTCAAATTAAGTTTTGTCTTACTTGTATCAAGCCAAATAATAGACAAAGCGCAATATCACAGTTTTTGTTTAGGAATTTATTCTACACACAAAGTAACGCTTCCTGTTTACACTATTTTAAGTGCATTGAAGTTTACTCACTGTTTATGCTGATTCAGCTATGATTACTGCAGTCAGGCTGCTGTGTTCAGTTATGATTCGTTGTTTTCTTTATGAACAATGTTGCGCTTATGGTCCCTCCTATAGGAATCAACTTACATACGACAAACACTACCGCACTTATCTTAGGAATGCTAATCAATCTCAGCATGATTGATTTGGTTTGGTTAGCTTTTGCTTGATTCTTTAAATTCAGTTCGAGTCAAGCTAACAAAACATCAACAGCTTGTTTAAGTTCATAACAAGTTTAAAAGTTTATAAGTGTGTTCTATTATGATTTCATTTCAACAATAAAAAGGTCAACAGTCATTGAATGGTATTTCAGTAACAATAAAAGTGAATTGCACGAGCTGGAAATTCATTGTTGGAATAATAAAATTATCTTATATTGACAGTTTTGGTGTTTTCACCGATCCCATTTTTTTCTATTAAAATGCTCTGTGGACAGGGATTTTCGTTTCATCACAGAGTTTTTGGTCCTTAGTATTAGGTTACAATATTATGTTTAGTATAAGAATGTGTTAGTTAAATATGTTTATAAGGAAATAATTAGTCCTGATTAATTTCAGATAACCATATTAAACTGTGCACGTAACTCAATGCTTCTGTTAATCGATATTCAGCAGATGAAATAGATTAATGATTTTTTGAAGACATCGGTAATTAATTTTGAATAATATTGTGGTATGGGTTAGGACAAGGTTAAATGGCAGACGCTCCGGCAGTCAGGCTTACTTGTCGAAGAATTAGAGCCAAAGTGACACCATCAATGCTATGGTACAATCGGCAAACATAGGATTAGATAGAGCAGTTCAATGGAACATTTCACAGTATTGTCATAATGATGTTATAAATATATAACCATTTATATTGACATGTTACAACGTTAGGCATGCTAAAACTTAACGATTATAAATACGACTTATATGACAAGTTTTAGTATATTTTCGATCATCATATTTCTTCGCATTTTTTTTATATATAGAGATATTTAATTTATTGTCAATATATCTTTATTGTGAATAAATTATTTATCATTATATAAAATTCTTATATTGAATTTTATACAATTTGCACAATGATCGTTATTTTATATCACAGTGTTTTAAGAACATATTAATGAAATATCATAAATTATAATATATATCGTATTAAGAGTTATAGAATATAGGTTGGCCATTGCATTTTTTCAAGAAAGCATCATACAGTCTTCAAGTATGTGAGTGATAATTTGTTTCAGATGGTCACATAGAAAATTGGATCGTTTTTTAAGCCTCATTTTCTCAATGTTTCGTTAGGCCTTGTTTTGATGTAAATATCTTCTATAAATTGAATTATGCTTCCAGTAGTCTGATTAACGGATAGGTCATCTCGTGGGAGTCTGTTACGATTGAAACCAAATGCAACCAATGGTTTAATTGAACCCAAATCCAACTAATATGTTTGTTTGTTTGTTTTGTTTTTGTTTTTAGTTTTTCAAAAATAAATTCATAAATTTTGTAATTTTTAACTTTTTATGGAATAGGTTCAGCTAAAAAAATGGTCTTATTTTAAAATCGTAATCGAAGTTAACATAGATTTATATCTTACTTTACTGTAGTTGAATTTTGTTTAAACAAAAAAATAATTTTTTCCAATACTTACGTTAATCTCTTAATAAAAGGGAACGTGTACAATAAAAGGAAAATAAGGGGTTAATTAGATTATATTTTTGGTTAACAATTTACTTATATTTACGACTACTGCTTTAAGTCTGGCCCAGATGTTAAGAATAAATGACAACGTCAAAGATCTACTGCAATAATATGTAAGTACGATCATTCAAGAAAATCTAGATCTTAATTTATAATGTAAATATGTACGCGTATTTAACACTGGATATACATAACCTTTAAATTGGATTTGAAAACAATTGAGAACAATTATAAAGTTTTTTTTTTGCTGTAATGTCTAATCTCATAGGTTTTTTTAAGTATTAATATGTTGAAGCTGTTTTGAGCTAGTGCACTTAAGCCATTATACTCTTTTTTAACTCGAGGTTTCTTCAAAACCCCTCTTTACACCTTGACTAGGTTATTGTTTATCACTTCATCAGACTAAGCAATAATTGACCTCAGATCTGCATACCTCCCCGAGGAGCCTGTAACCATTCTGAGATTTGATAACGCGGTGTTGGTGTAATTGTTATTAATTTTGTTTTCACTATTACTATTGTAGTGAAGCAAGTATCGGATTTCCAGAAATTTTTTGATAGGTTAGAAAACAAGAAAAGGTTTTTCAAAAAATAAAGTGTATTTTTCTGATCATGTGTATATTTAAATACCAAACAATAAAGCATATGAACAACATTAGTTATAGAGTAGAGATACTGATCTGGTACATATTAGTCATAGGCATTTAGTTGAAATATTTTAGAATATTTAGTTTAGAGTATTAGTCTTATTATCCATTTTTAATAAGCTATTAAATATAACTGTTGATAAGCATTGATGTCCATGTGTTTACATCACCATGTGTAACGTCTATTGGCTTTAGCTCGTCAGGACTGTCAATACTGTAAATTTAAACCTAAAGTGTAAAAATTATGTATAAAGTTTTGCTTTTTTAAATCGCTTTATCGAATTTTAAATGAAGGGTATGAAATAGTAACCTTAATTTTTATATATGATTAAATAAATGATTAAGCGTTTCGACGTCAGTTCATAACAAATTTATGTATGACCAGCCAATAGGAATGGCAGACAATTTTTTTTAAATTAAAGGACATCTGTGTTTTGTACTTACAGTACAGTTTTGTATTTTTGTATTTTTGTATTTTTGTACTTACGTTATTGAAACGGGATTTGAATATATCGAATAGAATTATGGAATCTCCTTCTTCAAGTGCAGAAGGAGAAACAGAGTTGAAGCGCGAAGTTACTCGATTAAATCGCATTACGAAACCACTGCTTCGTGAGCTTTGCAGAAAACATAAACTTTATCAAACACCTGCTTTGAATGATGTCCTCTATTTGCATTATCAAGGTAATTCACACATTTCCGTAAAAGATTAAAAATCTATTATATTTTTATTAATAGGAATACAGTTCATTGAAGAATTGGAGGAATACACCGAGTTGAAATGTCTTTGGCTCGAAAATAATGCAATAAGTAAAATTGAAGGTCTTCAGAATCAAACAAAACTACGAAGTTTATTTTTACACTCAAATCTCATTAAACAAATTGAAAATCTGGAAAATTGTAAACTTCTAGATACTCTAAATCTAACATCGAATCATATACGAAAAATTGAAAATATTGGCTCAGAAATATTACCTGTTCTAAATACGTTATATTTGGCATCAAATTACCTACAGGATGCTGAGTCCTTAAGGGAATTAGAAAGCTGTCTATATCTCTCAGTATTGGATTTAAGTGACAATCGTATTGATGATCTATTAGCTATTAAGGTAAAAAAACTTAATTTAAGATCTAATATTACTGGGTGTTAAGGAGATAGAAATATAGAAATGCATTAGACATATTAATATGTTATACAATTTTCTCTTGTTGTGTAAAATGCTTTATTTTAATTTGTAATTTTAAATCTTGATTTTAAGAAAAATTTCGATACTAATCGTTTTTTCTGATTATTTTAAATGTAAATAATGATTTGAATTAGGAATTCTCTTTTAAGTTTTCTTCTTTTTTATAAGATCTTTTCAAAAATGCCAGCACTGCGGGTTTTAGTGTTGCGCGGCAATCCCATTGTATCCATGTTACCACAATATCGAAAGACAGTAATTTTGGAATGTGTAATATTTAAATAAATTTTATGAAATTATTTCTTTTATTAATTTTGTATATTTTAGAGAGAGTTAACATACTTAGATAGTCGACCGGTTTTTCCTAAAGATCGTGCTTGTGCTGAAGCTTGGTAAGATTAATCGATTTTACTACATATGATTTATTTTGTATTAAGTTAGCTACGCCAGCAAAGAGGACTATTAATTCTCTATTAGTTTTTATCTTGTAAAATCTACGTAAATATGCAATCTATCTATTATAATTATATAATAAAAACTGTCCGACTAAGACTGTCCGACGAAGAGGTTGAGTTTTTTCAAATCATGGATTTAATAGATTTTGGATTTAGAAATATTAGCCCGCAATGAAAGGAGTCCGTTAGGAGAGTTTTTACTGTATTACAAAAATATTAAAAAGTGAGCATTCTTTTCTTCTAGGCTTGCTGGTGGATATGAAGCTGAAAATAAGGAACATGGGAAATGGGCACGTAAAGAACACAAAAAAATGATACAAAGCATAAATGGTAAAATAAATTATTTTTTTTAGTATAATTTTACGTATGCTTTGGTTTTTGTAGCATCAATACGTTTAAGGAATAAGTATTCATCCGAAGAGTTTCAATCATCATTGCTTAGTGACTCTTCTACAGAGGATGAAACCGATACCGATAAAGGAACTTTGTACGAATCTATTGAAGAAAATAATAATATTGTGTCTTATGTGCCTAAAATCAGCTACTTTACTAGTTTAGATACTTCGAAAATTGATGCAAGTCAAATTGAAAACTCTGTTCCAAAAGAAGACAAACCACTTATTAACAATCCAATTGTTGAAAATTTTATTGATAATATTGAAGGTATTTCACGTGAATTAAAATACTCGCATACAAATAGATTGAATTCAAACCAATCTGAAGAAATGATTGTGGGATGTACAACTTCTGAAACATTAGACACTGCTGATTCTGCTCAAATAGAAATTGATTCAATTTATTCGCATTATGTGAATAAAATAGAAGCTATAGAAGTTAATGAATTTATGAAAAAAAAATTGAATGAATCATCTTCTCAGTTGGAATATCCAAAATTTGAAACAGAATGTGAAACTGATATCTATGATTTTAGTACAGACGAGAAAGGAGATAAAGAGATAGTTTCTATGGATTTAACAGAACTAAACAATAATGAATATCAGAGTGATGTTATGATATTTTCGCAAGATATAAATAGCAATATCCTAGCATCTAACTCTATCAACTGTCAAATTGCGGAAAGTAATGTTGAAACACTTCAATGTAATTTTAGTAATGAAAATGATCAACTGGAGTCGTTTGGTTTGAAAACTGAAAATGATGATAATTTTAAAATTACTTCTACTCGTTTATCTATGATAGATAACGAAAGGGAAAAAAATGACTTCGTTTCAGAATCTACAGTGAAAAAAGACTGCGATGCACTTATTAACACAAATGAACTATTTCATGACAATGTATTTAATGAGAATATAAATCTTAAACATAAAGAAATTAGTACAGAAAGTGAAACTGGTGAGCCATTTGAAAATAAATCAGAACCTGAGCTTAATAAGTCTAAGCAAATCTTAACTCTTTCGCATGACTCTCAACATAATTTTAAGAAAAGTGCAAAAGACTCTTTTTGCAATAATTTAACTCATCAATTGATTGAGTCAGAAGTCACTCCAGACGCAAATAAAAATTTATGTTATAAACTATGTAACTCTGAAGTGCTAATTCAAGATACTGAGCATATTTTATCAGAACGAACTGATGAAATTCAAATATCGAATGAATACAATGATTGCGAAACTCAGATTGAATGTTCAGACGAGTACAATCATAATGAAATTGTGGATGATATTGATTTCAGTAAGGATCTTGGGTATATCTTAGATTTATTGGAGAAAATTGAACAACTTAATCTACCGGTTCAGCAAGATTATGCTAAAGACACAGAGTTAATTCTTAGTGATGAAGTTATTCATACGGATACTTCAAGTGCTATTGATTTAATTCAGGATTTATCAACACTAAATGTATCTGAAATAATGCGTACAATTTTACAGTCATTTCGTATATTTACTAAAATATTAACTGAGAAACAAAAAATACATAACAGTTCGAAAGAAGCAGACATTCCGACACCTGTGCCATTAAATATATGCCACCTTAAGAACTTGTTAAATTCTCCAAATCTGAGTACTTTCAATAACGATACCAAAGAGATATTAGATAAAAAAATACATGAAATGAATTTAGAAAAAAAGCGAGAAATCAAACGAATTGTACATCGTGTTTATAAGCAAAAAGATAAATACGATGACACTTTAGAAGTTGTTGAGGGTAGGTTAGTTGTAATTAAAAAGGATACTGGAGCTATTGAAGATTTGCCAGAAGTTAAAACTTACTGTAGCGAAGATGATGATGAATATGAATCGGATGAATGGGAGTCAGAGAATAATGACGATCCAGTAATCGATAGCGCAGAAAAACAAAAATTACAAGATGTTTTTATACGAGATTCAGTTACTGATGAGTGCAAACCAAAGCCAACTATTGTTAGAACTTTTGAAAGGTTTTACAATGGCTTAAAAAAGTTTGAAAGTCATTCTGAAAGCCTTGAATCTATAAGAAAATTTGATATTAGCAATATAGATCTTGATGCTGATGACATATATGTGGTTACGAAATTCGTTAGTTGTTATAAGCATTTAAATAGTGTCGATAATGAAATAAACAAGGCTCTCAATTGCGATGAGACGCACCTTCTTAATATGATGTTGGATCTTAACAACAAAGCTACATTACTAAGTGAACCTGATACCGTATTTAGTTTAATAGATAATAAAAAAGAGCAGACTAACAGTGGCGTAAAGCCCACCAATTCCGCTGAATCTCTTGACGATTTAAAGCTGGAAAATAAACAGAACGAGAAGAAAGTACCACTTAAATTCAAAGTAAACGCTGTGAGACGTCAGAGACTGTCTTATAAATTTAATACTATTCGGAAATATATTGTCAAAGTCAACCAAATTAAACTATTGAAAGAAAAGAATATGGCAATTACTTGTATTAACAATGATAAAGTAAACATGGACACATTGATAAAAACTCAGAAAAAATCATGTTTATACTACAGGCCCAAAAACCGATATCGTAGGCGTAAAAGAAAAAGTAAATTGTCAAAAGGCAAGTTCTTAAATCCAATAGATCCTATAAGTGATATTGAAGATATGGCGGACTTGAATTTCGATGAAAACTTTATATGCATTGACAGTGTAGAAAATGATAGTCTAGCAGATGATCAAGATTATAAGGAGAATTCTATTCAAAACGAGACTAGGAAAAATTCATTTGAAGAACTCGAAAAAGAAAAACTTCACAATTGTAGTATTAAAGGAAGAAATGATACGTTCTTACTTCAGTTACTTGAAGACTTTTCGGAAGGGATTAGAGATAAAGACAAAACTGCCGAAATGATTGAAAACTATTTAAATGAAAAAAGTCCAAAACAAATTATTGAATGCCAAAGAGTAGCACCAGAGGAATTATATTGTTGCAGTTGTGATTGTGACTGCGATGCCAATTCTAAAATACCACGTGATAAACAAAATGAAATGCAGAAACAAACTAAGATTCACTCATGCGCTGATACTATTAAATTAACAACTGAGCAAGCACTTAGTGATAAAGCTTGTACAGAAACTCAAAAAGTCGATTCGGCTATTGATGGACAGAAACTATCAGAAAATTTGATACCTTTTGTTGTTCTCAATAAATCGAATGAAAACGACGAACATGGACCATATAATGAGAGAAACGGTGTAGGAGTAAATGACTTAAACTCGATATGCGGTCCACATATTCTTTCACAAAAAATGCTAGAAACTTGTGAAGCTATTGTAGCTGTGAATATAACGAACGATAATGATATTCAGGAGGTATGCAAGAAAGAAACTGATTTGAAAGAAGACGCTCCAAATTCTATTGGTGATACAGAAATTCTTATACAAAACCCATCAAAAACTTGTGTACCAATGGACCCTGTAAATACAACGAATGAAAATGGTATTCTTGAGGTGTGCAATGTTAAAACCGATACGGAAATAGAAACTCCAAACTCAATTTGTGGTACACATATTCTTACGGAAAAGCAATCAGAAATGCGTTTGCCAAGAGATACTGTAGAATTAAAAACTTCATCAGATGTATTTGAAAATGGAACTACTACAACTTTAGACAGTGATTGGTTAGATGATATATTTGATATTTTGGATGAAGTATTTGATGTGCGTTTTATTGCTTCAATATTAAAATAATAATTAAAAAAATTGTTTTCAGGAAACATGTAGCAATAAAAATAATACTGAAATTGATACTGTTAATTCGAAAAGTGATGAATGTCTCCTCATGCAAGGACAGTCTGCAGCTTGTCTAAATAATGATCATGTAGGCGATGGTATAATATTTCCAGAAATATTAGAAGTTTGCATCAACAACGATCTTTCCAAAGTAGAACGTATACATAATGATGATGCTATAAAAATAAACGAAGAAAATATAGGAACCGGGATTGAGGCTGAGTTAGGGGTAGCTGAAGAAAAAGAGAACCAGTAGTACCAAGCAAAGCATTTTCGTATAACTTAAGTATTGATCTTAGAAAATTTTAAAGAACAAAACATTGTAAGATTAATTTATATTTGAACATTTTTAATAATTGGTTAATATATTTTTATTAAATTTGTTTCTCATGCTTTTTTTTAGCAAAGGCAATTAAATGATTATACATTTTATTTGATTAGAGGTAAAAAAAGTACTGCTTTAAAATAATTAATTTTTAATTATAATATAACAAGTAATGCTGTCTCTGCTGATATTTGTTCGGCAATATATATTAGGGTCTTAATTTTTGGGGTATTTATTGTCTTCAAATAAGCTCTTTCTCCAGGTTAACTCCTTTGCAAATCTATTACAATCGATGCACAGTGTGTAATCGAGAAATAAATAAGAATGTTGCTAAATTTCGACTAAAATAGTTCATGTACTAGAAATATCCCTCAGGGTACCGTTAAGGTTCAATGTGGTTGACAACAAGTTAATTCTTCCAAATTTAATATAGAATTAAAAATTCAGATTAATTATAGGTATTTCATAGTGTGCAATGCATTCGTTATCAGAATGTGAATAAAAAATATCTACAAAACAAAATATAAATTTAATTTATAATTCAAAAAATTTGGTTAAAAATAAAAAAATAAAATATTGTGAGTTCTTTTATTTTCACTGCTGCAAAAATTATTAGAAGCTCTGAGAATTCAGAGTTGCAAATACTTTGAAACATATCAAGTAAGTAAAATATATGTATTTTTACTGTTTACAACTGTAATGTATGGAATGCGAAGCTTTGCGAAGGGATTCTCTAATTTTTTTTCTAGTTATCTATTTTTAATTTACACAGAAGTAATTAAGTGTGAAAGTTTTTGAATTCCCGCGCTTATCCAATCGGCAATTTTTCTTTATTTTCACGCTGGCAACACTATTACACACATTCTGTCAAAGTTTAACGCATATCGTACGATTAGTTTTTGTTTGGCGTCTATACGAAGAAGTCGAAGAATTTTCGTGTGTCGATTTTTAGCAGAATTTCATTCAAAAAAAGCATCGTTGTGATGTGGTCAAAGAGATGATTTCCAACGCAGATAGGGACCCCACATTCATTGAACGCATCATAACTGGTGATGAGACATGGGTCTATGAATTTGACATGCCCTCAAACAAGAATCGAGTGATGCTTTGAAGGTGAGCTGAAACCGAAAAGAGAACGCTAAAATCGGTCCAAAATCAAGGTTATGCTGACTGTTTTCTTCGATATTCGTGGTGTAGTGCACTATGAATTCCTTCCGGACGGTCAAACGGTCAATAAGGAGTATTATTTTACACCACGATAACGCACATGTTCACACAGTGTTGGTTGTGTCGCAGTTTTAGGCCAAAAACTCCATCAATATCATCATCAAGAACCGTACTCTCCAGATATGGCCCAGTGTGACTTTTTCCTCTTCCCCCGATTCAAATGGCCATTGCGAGGAACGCGTTTTGAGACCATAGAGGCCATAAAAGAGAATTTGCTACGTGAACTAAAGGCCATACCTTCGGCGGCCTATAAAACTTGTATGGAAAATTGAATCAAGCGTTGGCATGCATTTATTGCCGCAGGAGGAGAGTACTTTGAAGGCAATAATAAAGAAAATTATTAAAAATTAAATTTTTGCGGGTTTTTTTAACTTCTCGTCCTTTTTTGATCAAATGGTATATGGCTTTAAATTCTTTACTCTCTAAGCGAGCAAAGGGCTTCTTCAATGTAGTAATTTTAGTAGACTCGATTCTGATTCCAAATAGTACGCTTTTAGTAATTTTCAGTACACCTTGTTGTCTTGACCTTTTTGAATTCCATTTTGATGCGGTTATATCATTGTTGCTGTATAGTCCTTTGAGGACATGATCAACGCAGCGTCATTTGTTTATTATTGTTTGTATAACGTGTCTGTTTGTATAACGATCGAGTTGCTCGTTCTAATGGGTGGGGTTAGTCCTATATATTTTTCTGACTGGGTGCTTCATACGCACTTCCTTACACGAGAATCCTCTTATACAGACTGTCATGGTCACGTTGTATGAGTAATCAGTGTAAATTAAGTAATTGAAAATGAGAGAAATTCCGATTTAAATTTGGTCCCGGTGATAAAGATTACTGTGCCTCATTAGATTGATCAACACAGTGTTGTCCACTAATCAATGCCATTTTTAATTGAGACAAAATAAAACATACCAAAATAGTAGTAGAAAATTGACAATGGTGATATGAGTCCGTTGTCATATGACTGTCTGTGTCACATGGCCCCTTCGAAAGATGCCATTTGGATTCGCTTACAGTTTAGTGTGCTAACTATATTCTTTGGTATTTAGAATATTTTTTTTTAAATCAAAGTAGGCATGTAGGCATAAATGCTTATATATCGGTATCTGTATACGAGATACTAATTTCTTTTGTAAAATAAAATTTTTACTTTTAGCTAACGTTAAATTATTAACTTATTGGTATGTTTTAAAAAACAATTTGACTGACGAAGAGAAAACAAGGTAAGTGGAATTATTTTACATTTTTGTGAATTTAGGTTTTTTAAAATAAAATTCCACTGATATTTCTCATAATAATACTATCTGCATAATACAACTTAACGGTGGTTGTCATAGATCTTGCCTCATTAAATGCTATATATTGGAACTTATTGTTACTTAGAAAACATTTTTTTGTTTTTTTGTTATTGATGTGTATCTCAATTGCAACTTTAAATCAATTCTTTAGAAAAGTTGTTTATATCATAGCTTTGTTTATTTAAACAATTATGTGGATGTAATGCTTTTGTTTATTTGAAATCTAAGTTGTTAGTTACGTTTGCTTAGTAACATTGAGAACGATTAATAAATCAATAACACATTTTGTTCAAAAACTTAACACAAAATTTTAACGTTATTTAGAAATAAATATCGGCAATAGAGAATAACATAACCGGAGGAGGTTGCCACAAAAATACAGATATGGATCGCTCTAGTATTGTTGTGCAAAATGAGCAGAAAAAAGAAATTATGGGTCTGCATCGTATCACAAAAAAACTTCTCCGTGAACTATGCAATAAACATAAACTATATCAAACGCCTGCTTTAAATGATGTCCTCTATCTACATTTTCAAGGTATATACATTTTGATTACATATGAATTGTATAACAAATATATTTAAAAATATGCATTATTTTCAAGGTATACAATATATTGAAGAGTTGGAAGAGTATACTGAGTTGAAATGCCTTTGGCTAGAGAGTAACGCAATATGTAAGATTGAAGGTCTACAAAACCAAACAAAACTGAAATGCTTGTTTTTGCATTCCAATCTCATAACGCGCATTGAAAATCTTGATAGTTGTAAGCTTCTAGATAATCTCAATCTTTCATCGAATCATATACGAAAAATTGAGAATATTGGTTCGGAGATATTGCCCATGTTAAATTCACTCAACTTGTCATCTAATTATCTTAAAGATGCTGAATCATTGCAAGAATTGGAAAACTGCTCACATCTTTCCGTATTGGATCTTAGCAACAACCGTATTGATGATCTTCTAGTTGTAAAGGTAGGAGTGATCTGTTGTATTTTTATGTGATGGTATATATAACATTTATCAAAGGCTCCATATGTTTAATATGGGGTTTGCTATTTAACATTATATAGTATGAGTACTTAATAGATACAAAATGTAAAAAGTATAAAAACTTACAGCAAAATGGTGAATCTGTAGTACGTATATTTTACATTAAATTATCTTTAATGATGAGGCGTATTGTTTGTTAAGAGACTATGTCCAAAAAAAATTGAATCTGGGGTAATGAAAATTCACAAGTAATTATCTAAAGGGTATGGTATTCACATAAAGTTACTGTTGGTGTATGGGGGTGGTATTTGGGCTGAAGGTTTGCTAGATACACATATTCTTTTGTAAATGAAGGTGTTAAATAAACAGTAAATTCCGTTCGCTACAACCAAAGGATTACAAAATTTGTTTTGTCGTGAAATTGAAATTATAGATGTCAAAGGTATGTGTTTATAACAGAACGGTGCTACAAGATAAAATTCATACAACGCAGACTCATGATTCCACGTTTTGTTGATTCGAATTGGCTATTAAAACCATGAGATTTGTCTCCAATGGACTGTTTTTTGATGGATTCTTTTTGATGCAAAGAATTGTGCTTAGGTGTAAAATCCTTAAATTCTCAACTCTTTGAAAATGATTCTTAAAGGATTCAGTATTGTAAGATGTCCTGTGGATAACATTTCAATGATTTTGTATTTGACACTTAATGGCAACATTAAGTTCCGTTATATATAAAAATAAAAATTTATTCAAAATTTCAACGTTGATCTTTGGAGCCACAAAATGGATAACCTTATCATTTGTTATTAAATCCCTTTTTTATTTATTTTTATTTCTAATAATAAATTTATTTGTATTTTGGGTACAAACTATTATGGTTTTTTTTATTTAATTTTAAAATGTGATTATAAAATTTGATTCGTGCTCTAATATTGATTTTTATTGTAATGTATTTTATAAATTAAATACTGATTTTATATAGGTGTTTTTTTTTAAGTTTATTTTAGATTATAATATTAATAAAATAATTTTACATTAGATTTTTGCAAAAATGTCAAGACTTCGTGTTTTGATATTACAAGGAAATCCTATTGTGTCAATGCTGCCACAGTACCGAAAGACACTAATATTAGAATGTGTAAGATTAATTTCAAATAAAGTTGTTTACTTTAGCAGTAAATACTTGTCATTTCAGAAAGAACTAACTTACCTGGATAGTCGCCCAGTTTTCCCTAAAGATCGGGCCTGTGCAGAAGCTTGGTAAGTTGCATAAAAATTTTCTGCAAATCAAAACTTTAAATGTAACGAAGTGATTGGTAGATGTACATTGTATTTAGGAGGAGGGGTAATGCTGCATTGCCACCTAAGATATCTATAGTGGTATCCATATTAACAGTCTTTTAAATTAACCTGGTTCATTTAAGGTTATTTATAAACCTATAAATATCTCAGTTCAAGGCCACAAACCTTATTCTGATTAATAAAGACATATAGAGTAATTGCACTATAGATTTCTTGAGGATTGCAGAACATTAGCAGATAAGATTAGTAGAAGATTAACTTACTATTATACAAACTCTGTAGATATCAATGTCGTTCAGCCTTAACATGTTTAGTTAAGAAATAAATAATTTGACTTCAGATGTATGTAGAAGTAGCAAATTCTCAGTAATTGTTTAGATTGCGTTAGTCGTTTGGTATTGAGACAAGCCTTCTCAATCAGATTATGTTCAAGACATAACAAGTGGATATTCTGTAAAAAGCTGTAAGACTTATGCATGTAGTTAGATCATCCTTCTTCATAAGCTTGTAAGCTATTTTGTTATCACTGCATCTCCTTCAGCAAGATATTTAGATCCATTAGTCAAAAAACACACGTATTTTGGATTTTTACAAATCTATTGTCTTACACTTCTTTTGGGAGTGACCATATTTTAGTTGCTGGAGTAGTCGCCATCATAAAGTGTATATCGAGTCATTGAGGATAATTTGTTTAAGTTGTCGGTTGTAAGTTTTATGTGAGTTAAAAAATTCAATGTATTACATTAATTGAGCTCCGCTATGGCACTACAGAAGGGTATTGATTTTTATATTAACTTAGAGATAATCTATTTGGCGGTTTGATCAATAAAGCTTTACTGATGTGCGCTATTCCGATCTGAGGTGTTCTTCTTTAAATGTGACTATTATTTAAATTAAATCAATTATAATTTGAAAATATAAGTACATATAAAACGTATGCCGAATTTGAAGGGTTACTAACTTCTTAACTGCAATTTGCCTAATGCTTTCTTTAGATAATCCTTTATACATGATAGAATTTAAATGTAATAATGTGGTAATGTATAAGTTAATCAATCTCTTAGCCATCAATCTCTTAGAAAATGCTTTCATTGAAAACAAAAAACACAAAGTGTCTTTCCATTAAAATATTGTACTGTAACCAAAAGAATGGCGACGACCAAATCATATGAATTCCACTACGAATTACTTCAGTACAGATTATGCGGTCATCATCTGATCTTGAGCGAATATTAACTGTTCGCGAAAATGAAATGTTTCCTCTAGGACATATATTCTACTCCTGTTAAAGAATTAACAGCCGAAAGACACATAGCAATTTGAGTAAAAATTAAAAAAGTATGCTAAATTTTAGAAAAATTTTATGGGTGATCGCAGACTTTTTTTGCTGTGTGTATATTAATTTTGAAATTCATGATAAATCGTTTTGTAAGAATAATATATATATATATAAAAATAGATATATGTAAAAAATTTATTAAAATTACTGAATTAGAGTAGTATATAAAACCATATATAATATTTTTTTTGTATCAAGACATCACCTATTATGTTGATGCCATTTTGTTAGTAAATACATCGTTTAACAACTTCTCCAAACATGAGCTAAATATTTTAGCTTTCTGTTTCAGGCGTGTTGGAGGATACGAGGCTGAAAATGCTGAACACAAAAAATGGGCGCGTAAAGAGCGAAAAAAAATGACAGATAGCATTAATGGTAATATTGTAAAACTTCCATATACATTGTTTCTTTTTATACATATTTTTCTTAGCAACTATACGTTTACGCAATAAATATAAACCTCCTGAAGATCAGACATCATTGATTGGCACTTCTTCAGAAGATGACGAAGGTAAAGACGCAAATGACCTTTGGAAGGAAGTAGAGGATGATGAAGATACTTGTATACAACCGGAATACACATTTAATAAAAGTAAAAGAAGACGTAAACAGAAATCAAAGACAGTGGACTTGGATGAATTTAGTGTAGTACCGGATAGTGATGAAGATTCTTCAAGTGAACTTGAGTTCGATTCACCAGAGACAGAAAATTCAAGTGGCGAAACTAATTCCTATGAATTTGAGCAAGAAAATAAAGAAATGGTTACATCAAATAACAATAAAGATAAAGAAAATTATTTTGATTCAACTGAAACAACTGAAGAAACATTCCCAATCAACAGCATAGATATTTCACAATTAGGTTCAGAAAAAGTTGTTGTAGAAACTGACAAAGAAATTAGTATAAATGCAAAAAAAATGAGTGAGATTGTTAATAATATGGATGAAGATGGTGTGCAATCTGAATATGTGAAAACTGTAAATGCTATATTTAAAGTTGTTAACAATGAGACGGATAATAAAAATAATGTCCCATTTACGACATCAGCTCATGAGACCTTTATCAATGAATTAGAGACTTATGATTCAAATGAAATAAAATTGGAATCAAAACAAACTGATAAAATGGATAATTTGCGTGTATCAACTAAAAATGAAAATCGTGATGATAAATGTACTGCTAAGAGCCTGCTCTTGGATTATTTAAATAAAGCAGATTCTGAAGAAAGCAATGCCCAGGTTACGAAAGACTTCGAAGAGTTGTCTTCTAATATGGATGCTTTCATTGAAGAATTTCAAGAACACAACATAAAAAGAGATAAGTTTTTGGCAAATAGCAACGAGAATGTCGAAAAAGATTTTTCTTTAGGCATCGAATCAGAATCCGAAACAGAGTTTGATTTTGGTAATAACGTACTTCAGATAGAAGATACACATTTAAACATAAAGGATATAACAGAATTAAATAATAATAATGATATCAATGAAACTGTTGTAGTGAAGTCTATAGGTAATTCTGACCAAAAATATAATTTAAGTATGTCATTTTCTAAGGAAAATGAGAATAATCAATATAATTGTACGTATGATGGAAATGACGCAAATGCAGCTAATAAAATATCATCGAATATATCAAAAATATCTTATGAAGCCATGAATGAGGAAACTAAGGCATTTGATAAGTACTTAAATGAGTTTTATAACAAAACTCGCTCTAATACGGGTTTGATGAGATATGAAAGGGAAGAAAGAGAACTATTTGAAAAATTACGTAAATTTGAACAGGAAAATGGATATGATGATTTGATTGCGGAAAAAACTGATAAAGAAAAATTGATTGATAATAATACTGTTTCATGCTTTAAAGAAACAGTTAATAAAGTAGAACTGAACACATCATTTAAAGAAACGGTTTCAAGAAGCAAAAACCAAAATAAAAATGTTTCGTTTCTCGATTGTTGTGATTCTAATAAAGTAACAAATAGATCAACTTATAAAGAGTTGATTGCCGAAAATACAAAAATGGCTACAGAAGTATGTGATAAGATTAATCCATTCATAATTCAAAGCGAAAGTTTGGTACAAACTGGTGACATTGATGGTTCAAGAGAAAATGATGTTTTAGAAGAAGATAATGTTTCAAAACAGAATATCACGAACCCAACCAAAACTATATATAGTGTTTTAAATTCCTTTAACGAATTTGTTAATCAACTGTCTATTCAGCAACGTAATCGCGTTGTACAGAAAGAGACAACTATCAGTTTAATTTCAAAATATGCTCCACTCCTAGGACCATACAAAACTCATTATATGCGAAACTTAATAAATTCACCTTTCTTTAAAAGATTTGATCACAATATTAGGTATCCGTTTAATGAAGAAATATTGGAAATGATGGTTAAAAACATTAAAGAACGGCGCGTATACAATGAGAAAGATAGATACACTGATAAAAAACTGGTTGATAATAAAACTATTTCGATTTGGAATGATGATATTGAAAATATTAAGGATTTCTTAGGCCTTAAAGGCTATTATAGTGAAGATGATGTACAATTTGAAGTTCAATATGATTCTGAGAAAGATCTCGAAAATGACTCCGAATCTGAAAATATATTTAACATATGTAAATTTAAAAAAGAGTTGTCAGGGAAAGCGAAAGATGAGGCAAAAGAATCAAAACAACTAGTGCTTGATTATAATGGTGGAAATGATACTAGTTCCGACACAGAACGTCTTACAAACATGGTCCAGTCTAAAGACATTAAGACTAATTTTACTTTTAACAATAGTAACGAATTTATAGAATCTCCGAATCTCTTATTACAAAAAGAAAAAGAGGAACTTATTAAGAACGATGTTGTAGTTGATATTACAAACGAAGCACATCCTTGTAAGAGTATTGAGGAAATTACCGACAATAATAAAAAAAATGTATCATTGGATGATCTTCTACAAGAACTTGAAAATGACGTAGTCCTTTTAAAAAATTTGAAAATTTTGAGCAGCCCGAATTGTTTCGATTTGAATAGTAACAAAAATTTAGTTGAAGAAGAAAATATCACAAGAATTGAAAAGGATGAATTGATTTTAGAAGTTTTAGATGACAAAAAAAATTATAGTACAGAAAAAATAAATAATATTATTCACTTAGATAGTGAAAAAAGATGCATTCTCAGTTGTGACAACGCTTTAGTAAAAGATAATTTATTACAAAAAGATGTGTCAATATTAAGTGAATACGATGAGCTAACTCCAGAATTGATCAAAACTAATAAAGTTTTTGATGATAAATATAAATTACCAAAGGCTATACCACATAAAGATGAATCCACATCAAATGAAAATGATTTATCTGTCAAAGAAAACAATAGAGACAGTACTGCTGTTATCAGTCACATGCAATTAGCCTGTGATGATTTGATTCAAGGAGAAGAGTCTATACCCACTGAAGACGACATAAATAACCTGATCTTAGTTAATAATATAAATAAATCACGCTCTTTAGAAAATATCCATAAAATCCATGTTACTAATTATAAAAACAAATCATTAAACGATCTTTTACAAGAAGTTGAAAATGACGTGGTCCTTTTAAAGAATCTACGAAACCTATGCGGTACAAGCTGTAACAAGGAATTAGTTGAGGAAGCAAAAATTACAAGCATGAAGAATAATGAGTTGATTTTAGATGCTTTAGATGACAAAAGTAATCATTGTACAGAAAATGTACAAAAAGTCAGTACCAGTTATGACAATGCGGAAGTAATAGACTACACATTGCAAGAAAAATTATCATTCTTAAATGAATACGATGGACTTACTACGGAATTTATTAAATGTAATAATATTGTTAGCGAAAACAAATCATTGAATGCTTCATCCTATGAAGATATATCCACATTGCATGAAAATAATTTATCAATATTAACTACTAACAAGAAACAAGTCTCTATAGATGATTCATTGGAAGGATCAAATTACAATTGCAATAAAAATCTTATATTTAGTAAAGATGAATTATTGAAATTTGAAACTGCTACTAGCAAGGTGGTTAAGAGTTACAAGGGTCTTGTATTTATTGACGGTAATGTCGTCTCAAATTTATCATCGTGGGAAGAACCTATGCTGCATAAAAGTATAGAACCTATTTCTGAAGTTTTAGTAGACTTCGATAATTGTGGTTTAGAAAAAGTTGAAAACGCAGAAACCGAGGAAATAAAAAACAAAAAACACTACATTATTTCTGATTGTGAAAATAAAGAAAAAATGTCTGTTTTAGTCGAGAATTATGAAAATACGAATGCGCAAGTAATAAGTGATGTTTCCACAGAAGAATGTGATGGCTTGCTCAAGAAAGTACTGTTATTTAATAAGGTTAGTAGTTCCGAGCCACAAAATAATGCTGCTTTATCTGATCATGAATCTGTGTCAGAATTACACAAGGAAGAACTACTATATAATAATGTAATTGGTTCTGAACCACAAAATATTGCTGCTTTATCTGATCATGAATCTGTGTCAGACTTACACAAGGAAGAACTACTATATAATAATGTAATTGGTTCTGAACCACGAAATATTGCTGCTTTATCTGATCATGAATCTGTGTCAGACTTACACAAGGAAGAACTACTATATAATAATGTAATTGGTTCTGAACCACAAAATAATACTGTTTTATCTGATGATAAATCTGTGTCAGACCTACACAAGGAAGAACTACTGTTTAATAATGTAATTGATTCTGAACTACAAAATAATACTGCTTTATTTGATCATGAATCTGTGTCAGACTTACACAAGGAAGAAGTACTATATAATAATGTAATTGGTTCTGAACCACGAAATATTGCTGCTTTATCTGATCATGAATCTGTGTCAGACTTACACAAGGAAGAACTACTATATAATAATGTAATTGGTTCTGAACCACAAAATAATACTGTTTTATCTGATGATAAATCTGTGTCAGACCTACACAAGGAAGAACTACTGTTTAATAATGTAATTGATTCTGAACTACAAAATAATACTGCTTTATTTGATCATGAATCTGTGTCAGACTTACACAAGGAAGAAGTACTATATAATAATGTAATTGGTTCTGAACCACAAAATAATACTGATTTATCTGATCAAGAAGCTGTGTCAGACTTACACAAGGAAGAGCTATTACACAATAAAATTATTGGTTCCGAGCAACAAAATAATGCTGCTTTATCTGATCAAGAAGCTGTGTCAGACTTACACAAGGAAGAAGTACTATTTAATAATGTAATTGGTTCTGAACCACAAAATAATACTGTTTTATCTGATGATAAATCTGTGTCAGACCTACACAAGGAAGAACTACTGTTTAATAATGTAATTGGTTCTGAACTACAAAATAATACTGCTTTATCTGATCATGAATCTGTGTCAGACTTACACAAGGAAGAACTACTATATAATAATGTAATTGGTTCTGAACCACAAAATAATGCTGATTTATCTGATCATGAAGCTGTGTCAGACTTACACAAGGAAGAGCTATTACACAATAAAATTATTGGTTCCGAGCAACAAAATAATGCTGCTTTATCTGATCAAGAAGCTGTGTCAGACTTACACAAGGAAGAAGTACTATTTAATAATGTAATTGGTTCTGAACCACAAAATAATACTGTTTTATCTGATGATAAATCTGTGTCAGACTTACACAAGGAAGAACTACTATATAATAATGTAATTGGTTCTGAACCACAAAATATTGCTGCTTTATCTGATCATGAATCTGTGTCAGACTTACACAAGGAAGAACTACTATATAATAATGTAATTGGTTCTGAACCACAAAATATTGGTGCTTTATCTGATCATGAATCTGTGTCAGACTTACACAAGGAAGAACTATTATACACTAAAGTTATTGGTTCCGAACCACAAAATAATGCTGCTTTATCTGATCAAGAAGCTGTGTCAGACTTACACAAGGAAGAAGTACTATATAATAATGTAATTGGTTCTGAACCACAAAATAATACTGCTATATCTGATCAAGAAGCTGTGTCAGACTTACACAAGGAAGAAGTACTATTTAATAATGTAATTGGTTCTGAACCACAAAATAATACTGCTATATCTGATTACGAATCTGTGACAGAATTAGCCAAGGAAGAAATATTATTTAATAATGTAATTGACTCTGAACCACAAAATAATGCTGCTCTATCTGTTGATAAATCTGTGTCAGACTTACACAAGGAAGGAGTACTATTTAATAATGTAATTGCTTCTGAACCACAAAATATTGATACTTTATCTGATGACGAAGCAGTATCAGACTTACACAAAGGAAAGAAGTACATATAATAATGAATTGGTCTGAACCACCAAAATAATACTGATTTATCTGATCAAGAAGCTGTGTCAGACTTACACAAGGAAGAGCTATTACACAATAAAATTATTGGTTCCGAGCAACAAAATAATGCTGCTTTATCTGATCAAGAAGCTGTGTCAGACTTACACAAGGAAGAAGTACTATTTAATAATGTAATTGGTTCTGAACCACAAAATAATACTGTTTTATCTGATGATAAATCTGTGTCAGACCTACACAAGGAAGAACTACTGTTTAATAATGTAATTGGTTCTGAACTACAAAATAATACTGCTTTATCTGATCATGAATCTGTGTCAGACTTACACAAGGAAGAACTACTATATAATAATGTAATTGGTTCTGAACCACAAAATAATACTGATTTATCTGATCAAGAAGCTGTGTCAGACTTACACAAGGAAGAGCTATTACACAATAAAATTATTGGTTCCGAGCAACAAAATAATGCTGCTTTATCTGATCAAGAAGCTGTGTCAGACTTACACAAGGAAGAAGTACTATTTAATAATGTAATTGGTTCTGAACCACAAAATAATACTGTTTTATCTGATGATAAATCTGTGTCAGACTTACACAAGGAAGAACTACTATATAATAATGTAATTGGTTCTGAACCACAAAATATTGCTGCTTTATCTGATCATGAATCTGTGTCAGACTTACACAAGGAAGAACTACTATATAATAATGTAATTGGTTCTGAACCACGAAATATTGCTGCTTTATCTGATCATGAATCTGTGTCAGACTTACACAAGGAAGAACTACTATATAATAATGTAATTGGTTCTGAACCACAAAATAATACTGTTTTATCTGATGATAAATCTGTGTCAGACCTACACAAGGAAGAACTACTGTTTAATAATGTAATTGATTCTGAACTACAAAATAATACTGCTTTATTTGATCATGAATCTGTGTCAGACTTACACAAGGAAGAAGTACTATATAATAATGTAATTGGTTCTGAACCACAAAATAATACTGATTTATCTGATCAAGAAGCTGTGTCAGACTTACACAAGGAAGAGCTATTACACAATAAAATTATTGGTTCCGAGCAACAAAATAATGCTGCTTTATCTGATCAAGAAGCTGTGTCAGACTTACACAAGGAAGAAGTACTATTTAATAATGTAATTGGTTCTGAACCACAAAATAATACTGTTTTATCTGATGATAAATCTGTGTCAGACCTACACAAGGAAGAACTACTGTTTAATAATGTAATTGGTTCTGAACTACAAAATAATACTGCTTTATCTGATCATGAATCTGTGTCAGACTTACACAAGGAAGAACTACTATATAATAATGTAATTGGTTCTGAACCACAAAATAATACTGATTTATCTGATCATGAAGCTGTGTCAGACTTACACAAGGAAGAGCTATTACACAATAAAATTATTGGTTCCGAGCAACAAAATAATGCTGCTTTATCTGATCAAGAAGCTGTGTCAGACTTACACAAGGAAGAAGTACTATTTAATAATGTAATTGGTTCTGAACCACAAAATAATACTGTTTTATCTGATGATAAATCTGTGTCAGACCTACACAAGGAAGAACTACTGTTTAATAATGTAATTGGTTCTGAACTACAAAATAATACTGCTTTATTTGATCATGAATCTGTGTCAGACTTACACAAGGAAGAACTACTGTATAATAATGAAATTGGTTCTGAACCACAAAATATTGGTGCTTTATCTGATCATGAATCTGTGTCAGACTTACACAAGGAAGAACTATTATACACTAAAGTTATTGGTTCCGAACCACAAAATAATGCTGCTTTATCTGATCAAGAAGCTGTGTCAGACTTACACAAGGAAGAAGTACTATATAATAATGTAATTGGTTCTGAACCACAAAATAATACTGCTATATCTGATCAAGAAGCTGTGTCAGACTTACACAAGGAAGAAGTACTATTTAATAATGTAATTGGTTCTGAACCACAAAATAATACTGCTATATCTGATTACGAATCTGTGACAGAATTAGCCAAGGAAGAAATATTATTTAATAATGTAATTGACTCTGAACCACAAAATAATGCTGCTCTATCTGTTGATAAATCTGTGTCAGACTTACACAAGGAAGGAGTACTATTTAATAATGTAATTGCTTCTGAACCACAAAATATTGATACTTTATCTGATGACGAAGCAGTATCACTTGATGATTTAATTCATTTAGAAGTAATCACACCAGATGAAAATAATATTGAAGTAATTGACTTTAGTAGTAATGTGAGCAACTGTGTAGCTAAATTTGAAAATTTAAAGGACTTGAAAACGATTACGTATGAATCAGACGAATCTTGTATTGATTTCAATGCATGTCATTTAGAAACTAAGTTGGAAAATGATATTAAACAAATTCCTAGATTGGAAGCACTTCAGTATATTAAAAAGAGAAAGGGTAAAAGTCGATATGTAGCTAAATATACTATGCACGTTAAAAAAGTATCCGTGAAATACAATAATCTTTACAAGTTTCTCGGACATAAATTCAAAAGAAAATGTAAACATAGTAAACTTGAGTATTCTAAACTCAATAACTCAAGTGATTTAAGTTTGAGTGAAAATGAGGAAACAGAGGACGAAAATTCTGATGTCAATACAGATATTCAATGGGACCAATATGATAAGTTTGATGATATATCTTGTATGAAGCTACTTGAGCAAAATGAATTTGATTCGATTTGCAGTTTATCAGACAAATTTTCTAATAATATACTGCCAACTGATGATGATTCTTCCACTCAAATGGTTGAAGAATTCCTAACAAACTTTAAAGAGCAAAAAATGTTGCCGTTAAATCAAGGACTGCAGTATGAAACTGTTCAGCGATGTGCTGACGTATTTGAGAACGGCACTAACTTATTGTACCCTTCCTGGAGTGATAAGTCAGAGATGACTAAAGACACTAGCGTATCTGAAAACAACGATAATCTAGAGCATGTAAATAAAGATAGTAATTTTGCTGACAAAATTTAATTAATTGTCATTTCAACATTTTTAGGAAAAAAGTAATGGTGAATATGATAGAACTTTCGTAAACGATGCACCCAATGATACAGTGGAACCTTTTGAAAATAATTCGCAACTAAATGAATCTGAGGGCATTTTTGAAAATGTCCATACTCAGGCTATTTTTAGCGACGATGCAGATGGTAAGATATGTTTTTATTTGTTTTTAATTTTTAATAATATTATATCATAAACATTTTTGTAGAGCTACAACTTGAATTTAATTTTAATGAAAGAATTGTCAGCGTTCCATACGATGTTAATGCTGAAGAAGTATTCAATATAAATACTGAGGGTAACTAATATTTTCTTATATACCTTATTTCTAATAAATTGTACTTTACAATTGTTATATTTTTTTAATGTTCATATATAAATCATTACTTGTTTTTCAAGGAGGGACTGGTAACATTTCTAATGAGCTTATCTCGGAAGGATTGTGTAACGCGGATGTTGGCGGTAAAATCCAATTCAAATATGTTTAATTTTATTTCATAGTTTTCTTAAAAAATCTATTCGTATGTTTTTAAAGTTCTATTGTTTTAAATTATATTACTTTTTTCGCTTTATACAGGGCGTTACGTACCAACGTAGGGAGAAGATTTCTTGTTCCAAACTAACAAACTAATAAAAAAAAATCATGGGAGTAGATTAGGGTTTATTTTTAATATTTACAGAGATGCAGCATATTAATCATGCATATTATCGAAAACCACTTTTAGTGAAAGATTTTAAAAATATCTTAAAAACGGTTCATCTAAGCAAATATCTAAAACTAAATTAAAATATAAATATATTTAAAACTAAATTTTAGTTTATTAAAGTTTTTTGAATTGATTCTTAATATATCTTTTAATGGCAGGGGTCCTGTTTATATGACTTTTTCTATTTCTCGAACTGTGAAATCATCTCCAGGTTAAAGTACATATGTCCTGTTCATCAAGGCCAAATAAATGGTGGTATTAAGACATAGTTTGGTAATTTAATAACTTTGAATTGAATAAGGAGAAAAATATTAGTCAGATTTCTGAACGTATTTCTTGAATTCTTTCTCAGTGAAGTTGTAAAAGTTGTAAATATAACCAGAAAAGTACGGTTTTTTACTTTTTGTGTAATAATATTAGGAATAAATTCATGTTTTATTAAATACCTAAATATTGGTCAGATGTGATGTCTCTATAGCTTGGTAATTGGAATATATGGTAATTTTACAAAAAAAAATTTTATAACTATATAAAATTTTTTCATTTTTTCGATTAATCGAACAAGTCTGAATACCACTTATATTGCTAAATTAACATTAGAAATTTACAAATACTTGCGATCTGAGTTGTTTGCAATATTTCTATAATAAATATAGTGTTTATTTAGTGTATGTAGTACAATTATATTTACATACTTGCTATATTATATTGATCAATTAACCCGATAATTATGTGTAATTAAATTAGTAATTGCCCAAGAAAATTTCTTTTTAAATTAAAATTTTCGTAGAGCAACAAACGGTAAATTATTACACAGAACATACTGAAGACGTTTGCAATAATATGAGAGTTCATGGAACATATATTGATGAAAGTGGCAGCAAAACATCCATACAAACCATTCAGAAGAATTCATCAACTAGTGCAGATGAATTTTCATTTGATGGAAATTGCGGGGACGTTTCTAAGGACATTAATGACTAAAAAGCAGCACTAAAAATGATTGGATTTTGTTTTTTTAATTGTAAATATTTATATTGTTGAAAAAACATTCAGAAATATTTTATATATTAATTTTTAATGACTGCAAATAATAAATTGTCAAAATAAAATTATATATTCCATACTTTATTAATTAAACAGCTTAAGATTTAAGTGAACAATTAAAAAATGCATACAAATCGGTACATAATGGTATAGTTTTTCAATATTACTCTTTAGATTTATGCGAATGTATGTATGCCAATTTATTGTCAATCATCAATAAGTCAGAATTTTTTTTATCGTGTTTGAAGCAGAACCCATTTAGTGCAATTCAATTATGCTAGCACTATGCGCTTGACTAAATATTCCCTGCATTCATAGGCTGATTTAGGTATGACCTTTTCTTTTATGGCCGCAATCGGTTTGATACACCTTTTATATTCATGAACCAAAAAAAGCACATGTTACCAAAATAAGTAAGTATGGGGATTGGTTGATCAATTTCGTTAAGTTTTTTTAAATAAAAATATATTTTAAATGTAGAAAACAAAGATTTTAACTAAAACACCTGACTTTTATACAGGTGGACGTCCAAGAGTTTGAAATGGAGTTTTGTGATGTATCAAGAAAAGTTCTGTTATATTGACTTATTCATAAACATTAATATTCCACTTCAATATTAAGTGCTTGAGAGGGTCAAAAGCCTCTTTAGTTTCATATAAACGTTATTTTTGTATGAAGGATGGTATTAATTCTTGAGGCAGAACTTTGCAACTTACTGGAAAAAATTTTATTATAAAAATTCGATATTAATCTGTTGCATATGTTAAGTCTCCAGGACCTCATGTCAACTAATTAATGGTCAACAACTATGTGATTTTGGCAAAAATATTAACTTTTACAATTCGATATAGAGGTTTGCATAATATAAATGAAATCTCTTCGATTCCTCTAAAACATAGTAACCATGCAAGAAACCGAAATTTTTCTTAATTTTCTAAATTTTAATATGCAATAATAAAAAAGTAAAATGTGATTTTTTATAATTAAAAAATATTTGAAGGGTTTCTTATACAACAAGTAGCTATTCTAGATGTAATAAGACCGATCTCAATAAGTCGGTATTTGATATCTCGATATTCGGTAAAATGATAAAACTCTTAGTTCAAATTATTTGATTATATTTGTTTATTTTGAAACAAAGAATACTGAAACTAAAATTGAAGTTCATAAATATCGGTTATAATGGTTTGTTATTATTAGGGGCACCACTAATATTTAGAAAGGTTAATACGATTTAAAAATCTACTACATTATTTAAGAAATTAATCAGGTTCTGATAGACCTTCAATTAAGTTCAAAACTCCTTGTGGTATGACATATAGGATGTTTAGTAGAGGAAACATGTATTGTTGTAGTGTTTTTCCACATGGAATAAAATAGTATTGGATCCAGGAGTGATATGTAAAATAAGCAGTTAAAGAGTCAGCAAATGATGAACAAGACTCGGAATTTATTATGCAAGAGTTAGTAAAGTATATTGCTAATCTTACTTTTGATATATTTATTTCTTTTAAATTGTATATGATTTTCCTTAATCATCTTAATCGTTAATAGAATAATTCCGGTATAATTATCTTTGTGTTTTGTCACCATTTAATATATGTCGGTTATATTACTAAATCCATGCTGACTAATAAAACATCATGAGGTTATAGTATTAGTCTTATTATCCATTTTTAATAAGCTATTAAATATAACTGTTGATAAGCATTGATGTCCATGTGTTTACATCAACCATGTGTGACGTCCATTGGCTTCAGCTCTTCATGGCTGTCAATACTGTAAATTTAATCCTAAAGTGTATATCAATATGTTCTAAAGTTTTGCTTTTTTAAATCGCTTTATCGAATCTTAAATAATTGGTATGAAATAGTAACCTTAATTTTTATATTTGATTAAATAAATGATTAAGCGTTCCGACGTCAGTTCATAACAAATTTATGTATGACCAGCCAATAGGAATGGCAGACAATTTTTTTTTAAATTAAAGGACATCTGTGTTTTGTACTTACAGTACAGTTTTGTATTTTTGTATTTACTTTATTGAAACGGGATTTGAATATATCGAATAGAATTATGGAATCTCCTTCTTCAAGTGCAGAAGGAGAAACAGAGTTGAAGCGCGAAGTTACTCGATTAAATCGCATTGCGAAACCACTGCTTCGTGAGCTTTGCAGAAAACATAAACTTTATCAAACACCTGCTTTGAATGATGTCCTCTATTTGCATTATCAAGGTAATTCACACATTTCCGTAAAAGATTAAAAATCTATTATATTTTTATTAATAGGAATACAGTTCATTGAAGAATTGGAGGAATACACCGAGTTGAAATGTCTTTGGCTCGAAAATAATGCAATAAGTAAAATTGAAGGTCTTCAGAATCAAACAAAACTACGAAGTTTATTTTTACACTCAAATCTCATTAAACAAATTGAAAATCTGGAAAATTGTAAACTTCTAGATACTCTAAATCTAACATCGAATCATATACGAAAAATTGAAAATATTGGCTCAGAAATATTACCTGTTCTAAATACGTTATATTTGGCATCAAATTACCTACAGGATGCTGAGTCCTTAAGGGAATTAGAAAGCTGTCTATATCTCTCAGTATTGGATTTAAGTGACAATCGTATTGATGATCTATTAGCTATTAAGGTAAAAAAACTTAATTTAAGATTTAATATTACTGGGTGTTAAGGAGATAGAAATATAGAAATGCATTAGACATATTAATATGTTATACAATTTTCTCTTGTTGTGTAAAATGCTTTATTTTAATTTGTGATTTTAAATCTTGATTTTAAGAAAAATTTCGATACTAATCGTTTTTTCTGATTATTTTAAATGTAAATAATGATTTGATTTAGGAATTCTCTTTTAAGTTTTGTTCTTTTTTATAAGATCTTTTCTAAAATGCCAGCACTGCGGGTTTTAGTGTTGCGCGGCAATCCCATTGTATCCATGTTACCACAATATCGAAAGACAGTAATTTTGGAATGTGTAATATTTAAAAAAATTTAATTTATTTTTAAGAAGTTATTACTTATTAAGTTTTGAAGAAACTAGTAAAGTTGATAGTAGAGGGAAAAATAGGATTTTCTAAATGTAAAAGTAAATATTCAAGAGGCAAGGTTATAACTTCAATAGATCTTATAAATGATATCGAAAATGAGGCGGACCTTAAATCAGTTTAATGAACATTTTATATACATTGAGTGAATAGAAAGTATTACAGGTATTTATGATAATCATGCAAAATGCCAAGAATACAAAGCGAATAATTTAAATTGGTAATATGTCATTTGAAGTGATCGTAAGGGAAGAACTTCAACATTGTATTTTGTTAGAGGCAAAAAGAAAACGTTTTTACTTCAATTCCTTGAGGACTTTTTGGAAGAGAAATTGGATATAAAGACGAAACTGTTGAAATGATTGTGATTGTGTATGGGATACCTATTCTAAAATGGCGTGTAATATACATATACCATATAATGAAGTACAGAAGCAATCTAAAATTATCTATTCACAATTAAAGCAGTATGTGGTAATAAAACTAACACGAAAACTATTGATGGGCAGGAATTATAAGAAAAAGAAGAAAGCATCTATTGTTACTTAAAATATGACAACTGAAATAAACATTTAGAGAGAATCTAATAATGAAAACGATATGAAAGCAGAGATTCGACTTGTAGTTAGTTCTACACCGCAGCACTTTAAAATGAGCTCAGAAAAATTTACTATAGAAATCACAACTTGCCCAGAATAATTTTAAACCGGAACTGTTACAATTGTGTACTTTGATTGGTGAATAGTCCATCTATGTTTGATCTTATGTAGAGAGAACTTCGTGTATAAAATTTTGTTTCAATATTAATAAAATAATTGAAAAATGAGCAGAATTATTTCTCTAATTACTTGTTATGTGTTTTTATTTATTGTCATAATATTAGTTTATCACTCATCTTGAAGTTTCATCACTCTTAGCGTAAAACACGAAAGTCCTAGGTGTAGAGCTTGAAATTTCTTAACAAGTGCTAATAAGTCCCATGAGCAATTCTCGTTCCAGGAATTTTCGAATTAACGGTTGAAATAAATGGTGTGACTTTCGTTACTATTTAGATTTTCGCAGCTTTAGAGTATGAAATTTTGCATTTTATGACATATTCTGGCTAAGTTCAGTACTTCTTCACAGTCTAGTCTTTGAACAGCTGTTCTAATGATTGTTGCCCACTACTTCTAGACATTTCAAATTTATATTATACATGCCACATACTGCAATTTGACAATAAATAAGGAGTAATTGGATCTGTCTGCTGCAATTGTAACTGCAGCGAATATATGTATATAATATTATTAATATTATCGTAACGTATTACTTAAGTAGTGTTAATAGTATTTGAAACTTTTGCGGTTGCGTAATAAATTTTGATTAGGTTAACGAGATTATTAGTTCCGTCTAGTACAATGATACTATTTTAATGACACTTTCTCACTGATGGGGAATGGGGAATGAAATAGTTGCGCTAACTGAAATGGGAAAGAAAGGGATGGACAAGTGAAGATCTTATGAAAGATAATTTTTTTTTATTTTGCTTTTTGCCACGATTACTTGTCTTATAACATACATATTTGAACCCATGACCGTTGTCAATTAACTATTCTTTGTAGTACGCTAAAAATCACTGTAAGCTACTTCAGAATGCAATTATTATCCGGCCTTTTACCAAATAAGTGCAAATGTAACTCTTTAGTCACAGTTCCACACTTAATATATTATGTTAACAGTCCATAAATTTAAAGGCAAATTGCATTTACAGTAGCATATTTTCAACAACTGTCATAAGTATTCTTTTTTGTGTTTTGCAATAATATTTTTACAGTGAGCATTTCGATTGATTCCATAGAGTAATAATTAAAGACCAACCAATAGGATTGACAGACGGAATTAAATTTCTACCGCGCAACAAGGACAAATGAAATAATGTATCATACAATAAATTCCATCCCAAGGATAAAAGTATGTGTGTATATAGAGTATGACATCAATAACATAAAACCAGCTAATGAGCAGCTTCGGAGTATGACAATCAACATTGGCGTCTACAATAAAAATTATAAGGATAATGATTTAAGGATATATAAATTCAAACGTTTCGATCTTTCTTAAGAAATATGCCTCTATCTAGATAATGTCACCACTATTTAGGAAGTACGTGGGGTCAACAAGTCTATTATAATATAGCTGAGTGTGATTTATTTTGCAGCTGCCTTACAAGTAAGCGTGAATTCCAGTGCGGTCTTGGACTAAGTAATTCTACCTCAGTCAATTTGTTCACATTAATAAACAAAATACTATTTACTATTCACATCAAGTAAACGCTTTTTGCTTTTCGGTTATGTATACGTAATGATGGAAAAAATTAGAATAAAGATTGCAATTACTACGCCTTCAGGATTAAAATTGTACATGATGGTTTTTAAGTAAAGGTCGGAAGAGAGGGAATTTTTGCTTAACAGTCAAAAAATTTGTTATTCACTGTTCGCTGGTGTCAAGGTTAGCTTGCTATCTACTAATCCTTCAATGTAAGAATCTATTGATTATTTCGTAATTGTAGGAGTACGTTTCTAATATATTAAATTCGCATTAGTTTCGTGGTCCACACATCGACTTCCACCATTACTGTGTCCCTGCTTAGGTAGATTTGTTATGTAGCAAAAATTTAGTCTACCTCCTCAAGTCTACATGGTAAATTGTCCGACTCAACTCACCATTTTAATAAGATCTTTAAAGAATGGAGATATTTCTTCTACTTTCTTTGCGCATCATCAAAAGACATGTTCAGTTCTGATGAAACAAATAATACTACGAGGAATACTGTCAAGTAATTGACATTTTACTATGAGAATGTTTTGTAGTTAGTAGCGATATGGTAAATTTTATCATAAGTTATTAGTTTGCCTCAAGAATTATACTTAGGTATTACTTTGCGGGATTTTTTGCGGCGAACTGTTTCTGAATGATCTTATACATTCAAATAAGTACTGAAATTATGAAAGACAAATTTCTAAGAAATTTGTTTTTAGGGATTGTAATAAATAGGTATACCTATGGAAATTTAGGCTGTACTTTTTTAATAAGGGGATTAAGATATTTGAATAAATTACAAAATATAACTATACAAATGTATGCTCCATTAATGGGCGTTCAGAACTGCAATCAGTGCCGTTATAGGCCTGATGGTTTCGTTATTGATTTTATATTTACATGATCCTATATTCTAAAAAAAGATTAACTAAAGTGAGCTTACCAGAGAATAAATTCAAAACGAGGTACATACACTGAATAATACGATTTTTAGAGTTGGTTGAAATTATGATTATTATTATATTGTAGTTTTAGGATGTCTCAAATATATAAGGAAAATGAAAATTTTATATTTCATTATGTGGATTGATAAATACTTGGCCTAAGTAAAAAACGTTTTTTTTTAGAGAATTATATTTTATGCTTTTATATAGTGCATTTTTAGCTCGACACAATGAAAAGCATCCGACAATCTTTTAACATTTGGATACCTTTTAAATAATACGAATCATCCGTTGACGCAAGTCTTTATCTTTTTCTTTTCAAATTTTGAAACAGAAAATAGTCACTGGGGGTTAAATCTGGAGAATAGGGTGGGTGAGGAAGTAATATGTACCGTAATTCGTTTAATTTTGCATTGGTTTTCATTAACGTGTAAGCGGGTGCGTTATCGTGAAAAAACAAATTTTTTTCTTCAACAATTATGATTTTTCTTCTTGATTGAATCGATCTTCATCCAATCGATCCAATAACATGCAATAGTTATATGATGTTGTTGGTTCTTTTTTTATAAAATTGTCTATGAAAATTATTCCACTTCAATCCCAAAATACGGAATCCAAAACTTTTGCAGCCGATTGTTAAGTTCGTGGTCGTTTGGGAGCACTACTCCCGGGCTCTAGCCATGCAATGGCTTGTTGTGTTTTTTACCCTCAGGTGTGAAGTAATGGATTAATGTTTCATCATTTCATGAACTGTCACTAGTCGAAGTTCACATTTCCAAAAAATTTTTTGAATGACGAAGTCAATTGGTCAACTGTGAGCACCTATTTTTCATACCCAAATATTTATGTAAAATATTCAATCATCTTTTACGCAGTTTAATTTTTGGATTATCCAACACAACATCGGGGATGATTTTCAACGTTTTTTTTCAGTGGTGACCTCATTTAGATGATCCGGACGCTATTCAGCAAAAATACTGGTACGACCACGTTTCCGTTAACGATGGTATAGGGTTGTCGTAAATAGAATTCATTTCAAATTTGATTGAATCATTGTTTATTACTTTCAAATGGAGGAATTTTATTACTAAACGATGTTCAGTTTTTCCCATTTTGTAAAAACTCACCAATGAAATAAGTGGACTCTCAATTATTTGCAAAAAGCTAACTAAACATCTGATGAAGGCGAAACTTTTACAGTTATCGTTTAAAACTTGTCAGATATATAAAGTATAATTGATTTTGTTCTGGCGTTGCCACGTAATGTTGCAACATACTATGCATACATAGTATGCTATGTATTATTAGTTAATTTTTCTATAAATCTAGATATAGTTTGGTTAATATATATTTCTCTGTCAATTACGTGTGTCGCAAAACATATCAATATATTTACAAAAAGTTTTTCAAAAGTTTGTTAAATTTAAAGTAAGTCATAATTTAATTTGTCGAGTTTAAAGAACTCGACTTTAAATTTAAAGGTTATTATCTTCTTTATTAGCAATATTAATAATAATATTCTCATTTATTAATTTTTTACAGTAATATATTTAGAGTCCTTTGTAAAATCGTCCCATTGTGTAGTTTGATAATCAAATCAGATCGATTATGTATAATTTATTCTGATTTAAATTGATATAAATAATATACTTGAAAGCACCTTCTAACAAAAAAATTTGCGAAAAGTATGTTATTATGGGATATTACATACGAGTATCATTATCAATACAAGCAAACAGAACCTGGGGTAGGTCAAAGTTTCCCTCGCATGCCCACTTCTTTTCACAGTACATGGTCACTGAGTATAACTATTTCTCGCTCTTGGTTAGTTGTGCTGCCACAATTGAACTGGTTTTGTAGTTAGAAGGTTGCCTCTGATCGATGTTGCTCCGAATTTTAAAGGTGTTGTGTCTTAATTTCAACTGGCCAAAAACACGATGGAATTCAGAGTTGGATAGTTATATCTTTTTAGTATTATAGCGAACTTTAAAGGCATTATATTAGAGTTTCATAATATCATATACAGTAAATCTTAGTCTGAAATCTTATCTATATCTCACTGTCGCATGTGAAAAACGGTTGTTAGATACTTTGACATAAAAAACGTTCGATTTATATGATATGTATTAGTCGGTCTAATTATGAGGCCTTTAATTGTATTTAATTGTATTGAAAACATGATGTGTAGATACTGGAATTCTTGTATTTTTATAATATATTGTCTTTTGTAATATTTTAATTAATAATAATATTTAATAATAATTATTATTATTATTAATTATTATTATTAATTATTATTATTTAATAATAATATTTTGATTTTACATAGGTGTTTTTGATTAACTGGAAGATTTATATACTCTGCATGCACAAATATTTTTGCAACAAATGTTTATATTAGTGATGAGGGGAGGGTCGCCATCTCTTCCACATGTACGTACACTTTTATTTTTTTTTTATCATATGTGATGATTTTTAAAACGTAATGTAGCCTATCTTATTTGTATTACTATTCAGTACTCAGTATTACTATTCGATTTTTATTGAAGCGAATGGTGTCTGCGAGATATTTTTAAGTTTGTCAATATCTTTAATTCAGAATCGTCTTCTCAGAAAAAGGGCAATAGTGCTCATAGGTCGCAGTGCACTATTGTCTCTTTACACAATGTTATATGATATTACAGCGAGCGCCCATCTAGTTAAGTCCAGAATTTAATGAAAAAGAGATTTGATAGTTGTTTTTGAATAAGCACTTTGTTATTGTGGTATTGATGAGTTTGGAAGTTTTGTTGAAGAATGCAGATTTGTGCATTATTATTGCTATGATTAATACACAAAAAATCTTACTATGAGAATGTAGATGTTTGAAAATTATATTGTATTTGAATAAAGCTACAAATGACCATCTACTTTTATTTCCGTAATGTTAAAGCGAAGGGAATGTTATTGTCCTAAAATTTTTTTAAGGGTGGGTCATCATTTAGTGGGTCAGTATTCAAAAAATTTGAAAACATATTACAAGTATGATGAATAATATATTGTAGAAAATAATATATAATATATATAATATATATAATATATAACATATATATTATGTATATATAATATAATCGCGTTTAGTAATTATATGTTGATATTTTTTTTTTTAAGAAATGAAACGATTAAAGTATTCATGTGATGCTTCAAGTGATGACAATTTGATGCTTTTGGATGTCTCACGTATGACAAATGAACGATTGGATGAGATTTGCAAGAAATATAATTTATTAAAAGCCAAAGCAATAAATCCGGTTTTGTATTTATGTAATGAAGGTTTGTTTATCTTTTATTAAATAAATATAGACAGAAAACAGACTTTTTCAGGATTTGAAAAGATTGAATGTCTAGAAGAATATGTTCAATTGAAATATTTGTGGTTACATCGCAATGCCATAACACAAATTGGTGGTCTTGAAAATCAAACCAATTTAAGTCACCTATATTTACAGTTTAATCTTATAAGCCGTATTGAAAATCTAAATGGTCTTAAAAATCTGCATACTCTGAATCTGTCTTCCAATCGAATCGAGAAAATTGAGAATATTGGGTCAGATATTTTGCCTGTTTTAACAAAATTAGATTTGTCATACAATTATCTTTGGAATGCTGATTCAGTTAGGGAACTGGAAACCTGCTTGCAACTAACAGATTTAAATCTGAACAACAACCGTATAGCTCATCTGCCAGTTATAAAGGAAGGAATTAATTATTTTAAAATTTATTTAAGTGTACATTAATTTGAATTTTTTTATAAATAGGTTTTGGGGAAAATTCCAAAGTTACGCACTCTGAATTTTAATAAAAATTCTATTGCTTCCATATTATCTCAATACCGTACTACAATTATATTGGAATGCGTAAGATAATTTTATAATAAAATATATTATAAGTGAAAAGTTTCCACACAGTCCATTATTTATATATTTAGAACAATCTTACGTATTTGGACATGTATCCGGTCTACCTACTTGAACGTGAAAATGCTCGGAAATGGTATGTATTCGTATGTCAACTAAATATGAAAAAACTTTATAATTTTTTCGGTAGGGAATATTAATGACAGTAGAATTATAAACATACATTCGTCGTTAGAAGTGTCACAAGAGTGTTCAAGAATATCTCACAATTTCAATATATATTTAACTATTGTAAAATCTTAACTATGTGTTAAATCAACTATTGTTGAAGTGTACTTAATAGATATTAAATGACACTTGTGCGGTTTTACTGAATCAGTGTTCGGCTCTCATTAAAATAATTTATAATATAACATTATCCATATTAACTCATGAGATTTTGTTCGCTTTAGCCCTTTAAGTTCATTGGTAATATCCAGTAGTTGAATAGCTTCTACATTGGCCTGATTGAATAGTAATTTTTCTTGCCTTGTTTGGTAAATGTAATAACCACACTTCTTTGTTTTAATATGATAAAGGATTTTGATGTTGAAATAATTAATGAAATAATATTTAAAGCAGGGCAGATAGTCCATGATAAAGATTAATTGTGGGGTTATATTTGTTTTATACAAATACTTTAGTCAATTGGCTTTATTTATTAATTTATTTATTATTTTAATACTGATTTAACATTTGAATATGCATATAAGTACTTTCAATAAATGAAATAATAAATTTTAGGCTTGCTGTAGATTCTCAAATATCTACATTACGAAAGAATTGTTTTTTGAAGCGGTATTTCCATTTCAAAAACGAGTGCTTTGACTGTGGTAAGGTATATTAAATATGTACGTATATGTAAATATTATACTATATACTAAATAAATATAAATAAATATAAATAACAAACACCAAATGAAATCGTAAGGAATGGTTGTGTGTCCTTTTTATTAAATGAAAAGGACTTTAAACTATTTATCATTTGCAACATGTTTTCGGTCAATGGTGTAATTTGTGTAGTAATTGAGAACTCAAGCACAAAATAGCAATGCAGGGGTTACATGCCTTGTTAAAAAACTTGAAAATAGTAAAAAAAGATCCTTAAATAGAACACGTAAGAATTTTACAGAGCTAACCAACAAAATACTACATAACCTATTAACACTGAATATCAGCAGTTTGGATCGTAGGAAAAGATTTGACATATAGTTCTTGAAAGATTAGTATACCGACCGACTATTACTGAAAACAACATTACACTCACTACAAAATAATAATTATAGTAGTGACCACGAACTCAACAATCGGTTGGAAAAGTTTTGGCTTCCGTATTTTGGGATTCAAGTGAAATAATTGTCATAGACTATTTGAAAAAAGGAGAAAAGAAAAATAATAACATCAGATTACTATTGCATATTATTGGATCGATTGATTGAATAGTCGATCTTCATTCAATCACATCAAGAATCTAGAAAAAACGACCACCTTTGTTGAAGAAAAAAAATTTTTTTTCGCACGTTAACGAACCCGATCACACGCTAATGAAAATCATGGGAAAATTATACGAATTACGGTACGAATTGCTTCCTCGCTATTACCTGTTTCCAAATGTAGTAGAATAGGAAACTAAGGTATGTTTTGGAGGACTTGATAAATCATATTATTTAAAAGGTATCCAAATGTTAAAAGATTGTCGGATAACTGGTCAGTATGTCGAGCTAAAAATTGACTTTATTGAAGCATAAAAATCATTTTCCGAAAAGAAATGATTTTCTTACTTAGGCTAAGTATTTATCAATCCACCTAGTATTCGAGGGAACCATCTTGCAGATGTAGAGTTTTTTATGTAAAGTCTTACTAAACGCACTGTGTTTTGGCTATTTTTTGATTTTGATTTTCATATGATTTTGAAAGCAATTACCATGTCTAGACATAATTATGTGTGTAAATATATACAATATAAAAAATGTGAATGTTTTCTTTTTCTCCAGATCCTGTAATTTTGGACACTTCACATAACTCCTTCAGCAATGACGAAACATCTTCAGATGGTAAGTGAAAATCAATAGTGGTATATATTTCTATAAAGAATAAAAATAAAGAATACTTTTGTTTTTTATGAAAATAATCCACTATTCTTATTTAATGAATAAATATATCCTCTAACAAAATTTATTATATGAAATTAATGTTTAAAGCATTGTCTAAATTCTATGAAAAACTTACTGCTAGTCGTATTATTCGTTGTAATATAGATAACATATTTTTAATTAATAATAATTTTTAAAAAAATAAAAAAGATTAAAAAACTGATTTAAATTTTATCATTTTTAGAATCTGAAGTAATATCAGATGCAGATATTAGTGCGCAATTTCAAGTAGATCAGTGTGAAAATCTTAACGAATTGAGTATAGTTCCACTTGACTTTGCTGAAAAAGAGGAACCCTATTTGAGTTTTTCAGATGATGAAAATACTTGTAGTCATACTAGTATTTCTGAAAACTCACAAAAGGAGTGGGTGCTTAAAGCTCCGTGTTGGGAAAGAGTATACCACAATATTAAAAGACGTGCAAATAATGAATGTAATGAAAATAAAATGGGCTGTGTGAAAAATAATGATAAAGAATTATCCGATTTAAAGGAAATCCATGAAATTACGAATAGTGAAATTGAAAGTTTGCAGCAAAATAAAGTAGTTCTTGAAAATGATCTAGAATATGTTAACTCTACAGATAACTCTATTGGTACAGTACTTACTTTGATTGATTATAATGATGAAGAAAGTAAATTGTTGAGTGAAATACATACTTTAGAAACTGACAAAGATTGTTTAAAGAAAATCAATGACGTACAAAGGAACTTTTTTAAAGACAATGATAAACGAAGAGAACTATCTCAAGAAATAAATAAATATTATATGAAAATATTTTGTGAAAATTTATTTAATAATATTGGATCTCAAATAAGTACAAATGATACGGTATTACAAGAGGATTCTTGTCAAACGACTCCAGCTAATTCAATAAATGAAATGAATTCAAAGACCTCAGATAAACCAATAAGCAATTTGCATGTTTTTGCAGAAAATATTGCCAAAGAGATGTACATAAAGTACAAAAATTCCAATATAGGCATTCGGAGTTCAGGTTCAAATGATGTATCGGGAAATATAAATGGTGTTGATTACTTAACCATTGATTATGAAAGTTGCCACGAAAGTGATGTAAAACGTGAAATTTATCCACAATTGAAAACAATAGAAGAAAGTGACGAAGAAGAAGTTCCACATGGCTCTAAATGCGAAAATCTAGATGAAACTGTGTATAGTGTGGTTAATTCATTTAAAAATTTTTTGGAATTGTTGGACAGAAAAAAAAGTGAAGAAACTGCACGAAAGGCTGAAGTTGAACGCTTAATGCTCAAATATTCCAAATACTTGGAACCGCAAAACACAGACTCGAAAATAACGTATTATCGCGACTACGGCCCAAAAAGAAATGCCAATGTAGCGGGTACAATACAAAATGTGGAAGATATTTCTTTATCGAAAGAGAACGACACAACCATATCAAAAGCCATTGTTACGGCAGGTGGTACTTTGGTAGAATATATCAACCCTATTTCAATTAAAACTGTTCAAAATGTCAACGAAAGGAATGAATGCAGTGATTTATTTGAATATCATTCGACTATGCATGATAATAAAATGTTCTTTGATGATTTTTCCAGATCAATAAATCGTTTTAGCAAGGATGATGGTTACAATGATGATGAAATTACTTTCAATGTTGATGAATCAAATTTACCAAATGATATAGTGCTGGCAGATATAGAATTTTTAGAAAAACTTGACTTTGAGAAAATTAAGTTGGATGATTCTGATGAAAATTGTCCACTTGTTGAATGTGCTCAGAGTTATGAAGAGTTGAAAAAATTTGTTGATTGTAATGACTTGAATAGTGCCTTGACTGATGACGAAATAGTTATACTTAACGAAATATTGGAAATTTCAATGGCTAATAAAAACTCAATGAAGATTAATTCTGAAAAACATTTAGAGGAAAATATATTGTTGCAAAAATTGTTTGAACGTGTATTATATAGCAAAGAGAATTATGAACATGACTTAAATAATGATCAATTGAAATTAATGTATAAATGTGCACATCTTTTTGCTACAACTGAACAAAATCCTGCGACTTCTCAAAATAAAATGACTGATTTTACAAATTCAAATACATCTGAGACTAAGGGAATGTTGCGTAAATTAACGACTCCGAAAAAACATTTTAAAGGCAAAGTTGCTAATTATAATGTTAGAACTGCTACTAAGCAAAAGGTCAGAGGCAAACGAATCAAGAATTTGGCAAATTCTAAGAATAAATTAAAAAATGATAAAAAAGAAAAGAATAGTAAAAAGTCTGAAGGTATGGCATGTGCTAATGAACCAGATCAAAAAGTACTAGACTCGCCATGCAGTGAATTGCAATATCCAAATGTTTGCATGGATCAATCAAAAACTATTCCACAAGATGTAAAAGCAGTGAATCGTAATTCGAAGAGGTTAATAGAATTACTAGACGAATTTTCGAAAGGTGTAAGAAATAAAGAAAACACAGCTGATATGATTTTTTTTAGCATGCAAAATGAAAGTCCAATTAGCTCACAATGTGGCGAAGAAAAGAAAAGTACGTCTATGAGAAAGGATGATGTTGTTATCAAGAAAAAGCAGAGAAAGCACAAATTTAGTGCACGTATCTATAAATCCCGCTTAAGTGTTGACTCAAAATTTTCTATTTACTCCAAAGATTTGCTAAATCCAAATGGCTATAAATTCAACAAATCGGTGAAGAAAGCTGTATTTGATGAGGAAGAAATACAGCTTCTGGAGTTTGAATAATTATTGTTAAATTTCGGTTAAAGAAGCACGCAATAAATGCGTATATATTTATTAGCTTTAACTGTAAGGAGGTTTTTTATGCGCAAATTACAATTAAAATCATATTTTGAAAAAAAGTATAAATTCATTTTTATTTCAAAGCATTATTAGATTAGTTAATTGAAAGATATTTTCAGATATTTTTATCTCTAGTGTGCATCAAGAAACCACTATGTGGCTTTGGCTAGTATCAATTAGTGACAGATCAGTTTATTTATTCCTATGGCATGTTTATTAAAATAAATGCAAATGAATTTCATGTATGGTTTATAACTGACTCTATCGGCAAAGAGACGCCTATTGCTTTGTATCGCACTTTTGCTTATAACTAATTGAACAATTTTTGATTGTTTTTCTTCACGTCATTTTAGGCCGTCTGATCAAGATGTACATGGCCAATCTATTCCAAAAGCAGAACCTCTGGCTTGATACACAGAAGCAATCACAGGTATCTAGATCGATATCTGTCTTTACATCTGGCTTGATACACAGACGCAATCATAGGTATCTAGGTTGATAACTGTCTTTACAGAGTAATGGACCATAGGACAGCATGGAGCTAGACTTGGCCTGTGCTGTCGTGTCTCCTGCAACGCATGTCTACCAACTGTCGAAAAAAGAACACCAGAAGTCCTGTTGTGTATATGTCTAGGTTTGGCCACAACTAGGCTTTTTAGGGGTTTTTAGGGGTCCCTTGCTTTAATATACTTAGCAATATCTCCAGTATTAGCATTGACCAGACTCTCGCATTTATAAATGCTTCTGGCTGGTATATGAAAAGTGAATATATGAAAAGTGAAAAGATTAGTATACATTTTCAAAAAAATTAGATCAACAAAAATTTTCGAAAGTTCTCAAAAAATTAAATATTAAAGCGCTATAATTTTCGAACTCATTTAGCGATCTTATAACATACAGCAAACTGTTAAAGAATATCACAGAATGCACAGCATTTAGGGTACAAATATAGTCGAGTAGAGCATATGGACTGGTATGTTTACAACGTCTTCAGTATATCTTGCTCTAAACTGTAATAGGTATACAAAATAATGATTTAAATAATTTATTTAAATCTCTAAGATTAATGTCTTGTAGAGACTATAACTGCAAGCATACCGAGTGGAGGTAGTAAATAGTAATAGGGAGAGTTCGTCTTATAGGAATTTACTTATTCATAAAATGAATCAATTTAGGTCATTTTTATAACATATATGCAGATATATGGGAGTTATGTGCATCTAATGGGGTGTATAATATTATGGTACAATAAGGTCTGCTTAGATTTTATCATTAGATCTTTTCCTAATAAAACTGACGATTAACAGAGTTAGAGAATATAGAGGTGCCATCAATATTACACAATAAATTCACAAATTAAGAAAATTCATTACCGAGTTGCTTATTTCTAAAGTACACTAAGCAGTAGTTTCAACATCGATAAAGAAATAAAAAATATCTTAATTTTTATTTAGTCGGGGTAGTGATCTTCAATTCCCGAAATGAAATCAACGCGCAAGATAAGCAATGTCCCGATATAAATCAAAGAAATGATTAAAGATAATAGATATCTTAAAAAATGGCTATTTACCAAAAATCAGCAGTTAAAAATATATATAATAAAGCAATAAAAGACTTTTGGGCATAAAGCAGTTTAAACGACAAACTGCTTTATATGGAAAGCAACAAGAACTTTAGCAACTGATGTCGCACAGTGTGCCAAAACAGAAATTAGCCGATTAAAATTTTGTATTTTTTGAACCACTAGAAATATTGAAATGGAATTTTTCTAAATCTAAATTAAATTTAATTTAATTTAAACCCAATCAGCCTACCGAAACTCCTCTGAATTTTCTTAGTTCAGTCAAAAACTGTGATAAGTAGAGAGTAAAAATTTGATGCCTTAAATATCTATATACGCTATGTTATGTATGCCGTATGGCCTAACTTTTTTATAATAATTCGCTCACTGCAACACCCATCTGCCATACAAAATTTTTATTAAAAATCGTTTATTACTGTTTAAAAAACATGTTACCCTTATTAGACTATATATATTAATTATGTACATAACAATATAGCCTTAAGCAAACAATGGGCGTGAACCGCCTATTCTTAAGTTATTTGCCGTTTTATGCATTTTTAGCGAAATTGTTTGCGCACTCTATGTATTATACATATTTCAGGCCTCAGAAATCATTGTAACATTACACAAGATATGACCTTACCTTCAGGTAAGCCAGTCATATCAAAAATATTTGAGAAATTGCATATTGGAAGTTTTTTAAAATAATCCATAACAGAATCTAACACTAAATTATGCACTTGCTCAATCACCAGACATTATACCTATATATATATATATATATATATATATCTGTTTTACTGATATTTAGATCTAATTTCACATAATCACAGTCACAGTTTTAAGTAGTTATTTGATTATCGAATATTACCTATTATTAATTAAATTGTTTATATATCATAAAGTATGTTGAGTGGAACTGATAACTTCACTATATTTAACCCATTTATAACTTGATAAAATATATTAAAATTTTGACATGACATACTACGATTGAGCAGGTACATAGAGTGTTTCATATAGCTGGAAATGTTCCGCAACAAAACCACACTTAAACATTTAATAAAGTGTGACACCTGAACATTATGCAGAAGCTAAGAAACAACTCTTATATAAGTAATACACTTGACTCCGTTTTTATCTTAAAAGCCATGGGAAAATCCAATAAACTTAGATGTACCACATATGTACTTTCTTCAATTTACTTTACTTTACTTTCTGGAAATTTATGGATTCCGTGGAAAAAAAATGGTGGTCTGTTGATACGATCAATCCATCGAGACATCGTTTCTGAACAATCGGTCTTATAGAGCGCTTTATATTAATCGGAACAATGCTTTGAAAGTGTTTCTACTTGTGTTGCGACATGGACTTGAGCATAGTCGTGCAGTAAAATTTCTTTGCATTGTTTATTGGCCGAAATCGGATATTTTTGTTCAATGTATGGTTTAAGTCTTCCAATTGGCTTTAGTCTATCTCACCTTTAGCAGTAACAGTTTTTTTCGGATTAAGTAAATCATAGTACACTACTTCTTTCTGAAACCAACATATGCACAATATTACTTTACTTTCATCAATGTTTTCTTTTGCAGTTTGTAGGGTTCATGATTTTACCTCTCGGGCTATCATAGTAGTAGTTTATGTAGTTTATGTGGAACCCATTTTCCTTCTTCTTGAATCATTTTAATTGCATATTAACGTTTGACCACGATATGTAAACGCTTGAGTTACATTTAAATATTCTGCGAGTTCTATTTCTGTTTGAACAGGGTCTTTATTAAATAATGCTGACCATAACGTCCTTTATCACTAATGTCAAAATCACCACCTTTCAGCCTTTCGCAAGTCTGTCGAGCACTAGGATGTTATTCAGCTTAAAATAATTTTTTTTTAATTAGTAGAAAGAAGGAATTATTTTATAGGTGGTGTAATAAGAAATGAACAGCTGATGGAAAATAGAGAATAAATGAAACTGTTGAAGATGCAGAAGTGATCAATTTATCATTTATCAACTAAGCAGTATCAATGTTTGCCAGTCCAAAAGTGGCAATGGACTGGCAAATTGACTGGTTGTTTTCTTTTCATATTTTTCAGGCTAATTTGGCACTTCCATTCGAGTTGAGTAGTTGTATTTAATAAACGCTTATTTAAAAAAAAATGCATTTCACTTGTTTTTATATGACGACTCCTGGATCACTAATATTTTGTAAATTGGTACACAATTTTTTCCACAAAATTTAAAATTTTTTGTATTACAAATGGCGTGCATGGGTCTGTGTGCAGTAAAATGGGTGGGACTTTGTAGAAACCCCCCAAAGATGCACTAACTCGGAAAAGGCTCAACATTAGATATATAAACTTAACTTCTCCTATATAGCTCATTTAGTTATATTAGTTCTGAAATTTAAAATTTTTATTTGAAAAGTATGTAAACTTTTGTATTATCCCTTAACATATGTTTTCTTAATATCTTCCATATAGAGTATAAGAATTGTGTTAGCTTAAATGAAATTTCATATTTGCAAGTTTAAAATAGTAGTGATTTTAAAATTGATTTCTGAAAAATAGGCTGTCTATTTTTATTGCTCATTTTGTAGAACAACCGAAACAAAACAAAGCAATAAGAAAAAATAACATTTCGGTTAACAAATGGTTCCTAGCAAAAATTTAGATAATAAATACAGAGAAGGCCTGTAAACTAATAGGTTAATGTTCAATGTAGCAGTAATGGAAAAACATTGGAAGAAAAAAAATAGACTACGTTTTAAGAACAGATAACTGGAAACTAAATTTATTGATATCAACTGTATATTAAGTTTTGAAGTTGTTGAAGTTTTCGTAATAATAATGGTAATAAAAATATTACATGACGCTTAAATTTATTATTATATTGAAGCTATTTGAGCCAGTGCACTTAAGCACTTTTACTATTTATTAACAGCGAAGTATCTTCAAAACCCCTCTTTACGCCTTGACTGGGTTATTGTTTATCGCTTCATCAGACTACGCAATAATTGACCTCAGAGCTGCATACCTCCCCGAGGAGCCTGTAACCATTCCGAGATTCGATAACGCGGTGTTGGTAAGTCTGTCAGTTTTTGAAAATAATTTCAGGGCTCTATCTTTAGTTTACAAAAATTTGTTTTTAATTCAGAGCATTTTTTTTTTAAATTAAATAATTTTTTTTTTGTTAATCAATAAATAATGAATTTGTATTAAGGTGGGAGAGAAATAGATTCTCCAAGAGTGAGCGTTAGTGACACGGAAAGCATAAAATATCTGGAGGTCACATTTGAAAATGGCTCAATTGGTATAAACACATGAAATGCAAACGGAATAGCTATTCTAAAACTCTACATCTTCCAAAGCCGATGTTCAATAATAATCACTTCAACCACAAAAATAGAGAGTTACTATATGCTCAAATAATTAGGCCAGCACTACTGTACAGTCACATA